AATTAAAAATCTAAACAAATTCTTTATAAAATATAGCATATAATGGAAGTAACATAGAATTAAAACATAAGTGGATACCATAATTTGATTTATAAATTAGATTACCAAGCTAAAATTACTATATCATATACCAAACTTATAACATATCCAAGAATAATCATGCCAATAAAGAATAATGACTTTTATCTTTTATGTTTGCTTGGCTTATAAATACGTAAACAATTATTTCCTGCTACTAAAACTATTCCTAATGCCCAATCTGTATTTAAAAGCTTTTCTCCACTAAAAATAATATTATCCTAATTAAATTTAAACACTTTTGGATCATTTTTTAATTTTATCATACCCATCAAACTGGATTTCTTACCAAATGAATATGAATACTAAATTTATCCATTTAAAGTTAATTTAAATTCCACTAACAATCCTTTTGTATCTGATTTTGGTTATACTATGATAAAAATGTCATTTACTAAATGTAGATTAACAAGGAATTGTAATTTTAGGTGTTGAAATACCAAATTCATTTTAATCTATATGTACCATCTGTTGACTTGATTCTAGAAGTAAAACATCTGCAGGACATTCATGCGTTTTTTATAAGATAACAATATCACCAACTTTAATCTATTCTCTTAATACTTATTTTTATGGATAGAAATAAGTATTTATATCTTCAGATGAATCTGATGCCAAAGGTTCTTTGGAATGAATAAAGTTCTCTAATATACAATATCTCTATTCATTCAATTATGATTCGATTATTCTAAAATTACGAAATTTAAGAAGACATTTTGTTACATAAAGAGTGTAATCTAAAAGCAATACAATGCTTTGAAACAAAACAACTAAATTACTTTTGAATAATCAAATTTTAAATACCTAGCAGCATCATCTTAAAGAACCCAACTAATAATGATGTAGACCATAATCATTAAGATTTCAAATCTCCATAGGAAAGATAAGACTTCTAAAATATGTTATTTAAAAGTAAATGATTCAACTTTATTGCCAATATAAGATTTTCCATAACCAGTAAGTGACTTTACTTCTCCATTCACAAGTTCAATCTTTATTAACAAATATATAAACTTACCTTCTTCATATTATTCTCTGTCTTTTATAGAATGAGTTTCTAGACCTTTGATGATTATTTCATGTATAGGTACATTATCAAAGAATTTAGCCATCTCATTATTTATTACAGAAAAAAAATAAATTTTTAAATCTCATTTGCCCTGCTTACGTAAACTGGGTGAACGAGCTCTTGGAGAAAGAGGAGGTGAAATTTTGGGTTCATCCATAGCAAACCCTGACTTTTTTGTTAATCTTAAAATTTGGACAGGACTTTTAGGACTTAATAATGTACTTCTTCTTGGTGATTATTCAACAATCAAAAAACCCTTTCTCAAAAAGCTTTAGTAATTAGGATTCAAATATGGTTACTTATGCATAGCTATTATTTTGTATATAGAATATACATACCACAATATAATGCTGCATTATAAACAGTTAAAGTGTCTTAATAATTCAAATATTAAGGTTCTTCATCTTATTCAATTTTCTTACTAACTTTGAATTTAGGTAGCCAATCCTACTTTTAAATATTTGTAAAAAGATCATAGAATACAGTGAATTAAGGAGATCTAAAGAAAAATAATTTCTTTACCTTTTGACAACATTAAAATATATATGTGTTAACAAAGTCTCTAATTTAACATGCAATGGTAAACTATATCTTGAGGATGAACCAGCATCTGTTACTTCCCCTATAGGACCTGGACTTATATATTCTGCTAATCTAGCTAATGCTTCATAAAATTCTATTTAACTCATTCTAATATGACGATCTTAAGTTAATTCATCTGCTTAAGACATCATTGAAAAGTTAAAAATAATGACTATTAATTTTTCATTAATATAATCCATTAATCCCATTTATTTACAAAAATCTTTAAATTCTTTAATTGCAACCCATTTCATTTTAAAATACCATTTTCGATTATTTAAATCAGTAACATAATCATAAAGTTTTTTTAGGAAAGGAATTTTAAATTGGATTAAACATTCACATTCTTTATTCCAATATCTTTCATCTCTCCATTTTTAACAAGTATCAAAGTTTTTGAAATGCTCTTTAAATTCTTTAATTAATCTATAAACAGCATCAGCATGATTTTTAACAATATTGGTTCTCACATATTTATCATTTGCTAAACGAAAAAACATTTCTATAAATTAAAATCTAATAAGAGCCTTCTCAGGATTATATATATATTTTGGATCAATATTATTCTTAATAGAAGCTAAATCAATTTCTACATCTTATAATTTTACTGATTCATTATCTATTATACCAATTTATTATATCATTTTTATATATGATTAGAATGAAATTGAAAAACATTCTGATATAAAATATCCATTACTAGAATAATATTTATAAATATCTTTTATTAATTGATAATTTTCTCTTAAATATTCTTTCAACTTCATTTATTCATAATCATTTTTTACAAATCTATTTATTTTGCTACAATTCCAATCAAATTAAAAACATTCATTCAAAATTTCTTCATTATCTGATTAAAATTATTATTTGAATAAAGATTCTTCTATATTCCATTAATGATAATTTAACTATTTTCTCTTTAAATTATTACCCATTCTTCTTAAAACATATTTCTTTTCAGAAGAACGTGGAAATAATCTAATAAGTGGTTTGTAATTATTTTTATCATCTATTATAAATTCTTATTTTGTGTAAAGATAATTCACAAAACCTATTTTTTTGAATTTCAAAACAGTTCCATCAGAAAAATAATGAAATTGATGTTTAGGATCTTTACCTTATAATGTTAAATTATCTTAAGGAGATGGTATATTATCTTAAGAGGGTTCTATAAAATAAGATTCAATCAATGGATTTGAAAAGAAATATAAAATTCTCTATTTAGGAGGACACATTTAATATGTTGAATAACAAAATTTCTACAATTCATCAAGTATTTCTTTTGATAAAATACTACTTTTTCTCTCTTAAGCTTTAGGAACATTTAAATTAGTTTGATTTGTTTATTTTTATTATGTATCCTTTTTTAATAATTGTTCCTTCTATTACTCAATTAATTATGCTTTAAGTTCGGAACTTGATGTCATAGGAATTGGTTTATAACTAATTATTTATATTTAATATACTTCAAAAAGTCTAAATGAAGAAATATTGGAGTATCTGGTTATTCAATATCTGGTGTGTATTAAAAACGATGTTCTACCCATCCTTAACAAATCCAGCAACAATTTTAAGTTGTTATTCTAGTCAATTCAGGTAAGTAATTAACACCATCAATTTAATATTTTATCTAACTGAACTCTTCATTTATTTATTAAAATTATATGAATCCATATGGATCAATATAACCTTCAAATTTATTACCTTCTAAATGGATTCCATAAAGAGAATTGTTTTTTAATAATGCGTCGTTAAGTTAACGTATTTATTTCTCTGATATTTAATTGTAAGATATATCTAAATGAACTAAACTTAATTAGGTATTTAATAATGCTTAACACCAAAATTAAATACAATTTGATTTTTCATTTGATCCTATTCGATTGTAACTTAAATCTAATACTTTCAATACTCGATTAACTAATAAAGCCTTAGCTATAAATATCCCTGTAGTAGAACCCAATTAATTCCAATTTATTGATAATACTTCTAATCCAGATGACTTGATTAATAAATCATATAAAGCTTATCCAACACCATCAGATAGATTATTTTCAGAAATGATTAATTTACTAAGAAGGACATTCTTATGTAGATTCTTAAAAAATATATTAGCCCCGTTATCACCTATGAAATTGTTCGCAATATTAAGAATCTTGAGACTTTTAATAACAAATTCCATTACTTTTGAAATCGACTCAGATATTCTGCTAAAATATGAGCTCCTTTAGAACCAAGCTAATTGTCTTTTAGATTCAAGTCTTTCATAATTGGTGGGAAATGTTAGACTAAACTCAAAAACAATTTATCATTTATCTTATTTCCTTAGAATATGAGTTATTTTATATTTTATTGCTTTTATAAAAGAATCTTAATGAGAGGATAGTATTTCTCTCCAACACCTAAATTTGACAAATTTATCAATTTATCTTCTTTTAAATGACTAGCATCATCTATTCTTTTTGGAAATAAACTATCATTTTTACAATAAAAATGACCTGGATTTGAGAAATTCTATTCTAGATCTCCAAAATTCTCTGCAATATCTCTAAGTTTTTCTTTCTTTTTAATGAAACTAAAGAATGATTCATCTGCATTCAATTTATTATTGATTGACAACATAGCTTGTTTAATAGCTGAAATATCAAGATGAACTTCTTGTTAGGAATCAGGGGATTTAGGTGCTGAATCACTTTCTAAATTAATAGATTCTTCTTCTTTTATAATAATCTTTGGTTTTTAGTAAACTTATGGCATCACCTTCTTTAGATTGCAACTACGCTTTGTTGCTTTTTTAGGAATTATTATTTCAACTAAATCACCTTAATACTCAGTAAGCATCTAATTTTACTCAGTGCGGTTCTCAGCCTTTCTTGAATATGTTCTAGTTGATACACTTCTCTCAGGCAAAAAGAAGGTCTTCAACTTATCAAGGCGTGATTATGAACGATCAGTTAATTTTGGGAGAGGAGAATGAGTCTTGCCTTTAAAATAATACATTTATTTTATCATTATAAGAATTAAGTAATATTTGTCAATTAGTTTTTCTTTATTAATTTTAAAGTACATATTTACTTATTTTAGTATTTATAGTATCTCAAACTTAGTAAATTCACATATTAAAAATACAATTCAATACTAAATTAACATAGTAGGTTCTAAACAGAATTATTATTTCAAAACAATTTAAATTTTTGTTAATTTTTAAACTGATTTTCTAAACTTGAACATAAGAATATTATGATATTATAATATATATGATATTTATTCATTTTTCAATTATTATTGAGTATTCATCTTATACATAAATACCTCCATCTTAACTCTTATTTTATAAATTCCATATTCTAGAATTTTTCATCTTATGTTTATCTAGCTTTTTAATAACAAAAAATATATTGTCATTTTACATATATCCTTAATAATTATAATGTTTATCAATACAAAGATTTATTTATTATGGATGAGCATAAAGATAATCTAATTGTCTAAAATTTATTTCATAATCACTTTACTCTTAATTTTCTTAATTGTCTTCATCCAATTCATTTATAGTCAAGAATTAAGATGATGTTGATAAATAAACAGAATTTTATTTCTTCAAAGAAAAGTTTTGAAGTGAAGATTGATATCTATGTTTATTTTTTATTTATTATGTTTTTTTCTTAAGTAGGTTTTATGTACCTTATAATGATTATTTTTAAGCTTTTTTGATACTTATATTTATTAGATTGAACTCTATTTTTCAAAATTAAACTCATCTTTACTTGATTAATTGATTTCTTGCGTTATTTATTTACTCTGTCTAGATTAAATTTATTAATTATTTATTTAACCTGTTTATTATTAGTGTATATTCATAATTCTATTTTAAGGATCATTAAATTCTGTTATAGATCTTGTCTAAACATAGTCTTAAACTGATTCAATAACTTTATTATGTATTAATAATGAATTAATTTTATCACCAACTCTTTAATGTTTCATTCTTAACATCACTTAATTTATATTATTATCAGGTTGCATTACTATTTTAAATTTATTAGGTTAATATGTAATTAAAGGACATTCAATATTGGCATGATTATATAAGTTACAAAAATTACATTTCTTAAGAATTACTTAATAATTATTTAAAAATATAATGCTATCTTTGATATTATGAAACCTCTAAAAATCCTTATTACTAATTTAGGTAAATAATTTGATGAAGGAATTTCTATGAATTCGATATAAAGTTGAATGGCCATGACTGATAGCTTATGTTTAAGTCTTGAATCCAGTAAAAAATTAATATTCTCCAAAACTCTCCCCAGTATTAATAATCTACAATAATTTATTGCTCCTATCTTCACATAAATAAACTTCTCCATCTTGTAAATAATATCTACAGAATTATATTTAATATGTTACAAATATTAATCATCTTAATCCCCATTGTTATATATAATTTCATCTGGGATACATTTAATTTATTCCATCTTTTGGGATAATTAATTTAGAATTTAAGATGAAAAATTATGATTTAATACTGATATTTTAGACATTATGCTCATCTATATACCTAATGTCAATTCTTATTTTAATTTAGTAGGTAAATGAGTTATTATTTCTTTAATTTCATCAAAATTCTCATTATTTTCTGTTAATAAATAATATTTTAAATAATTTCTGACTCTATTTTAAACAGGTTAAGACAATTATCCTTTCTTCATATAATTATTTATGAGGATTAAACTTCGCCTAATTTAAACTCAAATACATTTACTTAAATTTTTGTTGAATATCATAATTACTCTTCAATATCATACCTATACTATTAATAGAATATGCAAACATTCCACTACTAAGCAGCATCATAAAATTAACAAACATCATTTCATATTGATTTGTTGCTGTAATATCTCCATAACCTACAGTCACCATAGTAGTGATTGCCCAATATATTGAATAATTATATTGTATCCAAAAAGAAGAATCTGCTATTGAATACTTTAATAACCAAGATTGGCCAGTGAACATTGTTAAATAACCAACATAATACATAATACATCCCATCAAATGCACAAAAGTAAGAATTGTAATTATAAGTGTAAATAAGTCTATAGCATAATTGAAACTACCTTTTAAGAACATAGTTTCTATACAATTAGAGTAATTCTTCGTCAATTTTTTTAATGAAACCAATATAATAATACCACAAATCAAGCTATTTATTAAATTATTAATATTAAAAAATTATATTACCCAACAACTCAAATCAATTATGTCTTCAATTAAAAAATATTAAATATAATTTGATAATATTCTTCTCTAATTAGTGATGGTTTCACCTTAAATATTAATTGGTCTATTTGTTTAGATAATAACTTCAATAATAATTTGAAACATGATTCCAATTTAAAACCATTTGAATATATCATCATCTAATGAAAAAGATACTATAAGTGGTGACATCCATAAACAGATTATTTTAATAATCAATGATAATAAATCTAAAATCAATGTAAATTTGCTGCCAGGTATTAAAAATATTTATTTGTCTTATTATTCTGAATTAACTAAACATTAAACAATAATTATACATTCTACTCTTTTTGAACTATTTTATTCATATTTAAAATGATTCTAAATTACTCCTTTATATTCTTGACTCATCACATAAGATTTAATAAACAAATTTCTCTTAAATTATTTTACTAATCTATCCTTAGCTAAAGTTTTAAACACTTAATTGTCAACTAGTTTTTAATTATTTTCTTCTTTTTTACGTCGAGTTAACTCTAATCAATAACAATAAAATACCATTCTCTTTGTAACCCTATTATTTCTAGCTGTATTAATAGCATTTGGAGTGCAAACAACATCTACATAATTGTTTGATTATATATAGAGAGAGCCTTTACATAAATCATCAGAATATTGTCTTTATAATTTATTAGAAAGTCTATGATCATCAAGCATAACTTTAGGTCCACTAAAATGATACTCTGACTGTTCTTTAATGCTTATTTGAGACAATGGTTTCATAAATCTTAAATAATGATATTTTTATAATAATTTAATCTAAAGGATTGTCCATAAAAATTAGATTAATTTATTATCCACAAACCATTTTAATTTTAATTTAATAATTTTTAATCAAAATCTCGATTGATACAATAAACTAACAGCTGTAGTTGCTTATTTTGATAAATGAGCCATAGATGATGGTAAAATTGGTTATATTCTTTATCTCTTCATTTCTAACATTGCTGATGATTCATTCTTAAATTAATCCAAAACACAATTTCTATCACCTTATAGTAGTTAATCATGTTACATTAACCAATAAGTATAAATATTTGGGTCTTTTAGAGTTGAACTAAAATAATATTAAAATAAAAACTCTTACTCTTTCCATTTTTCAGTATCTCTAGTTAATGTTATTTCAATCTCATACACATCCCCTAATTATTTCATCAATTCTACTAGTTTCTCATCTATTATTTTAAAATTTATGCAATCACACAATAACATCATTGTACATGATAATCGTTTCTTTCTGTAAAGCCAAAAGTTACCTATCTAAAACTCTTTATCAAGTTTTGCTTTCTGCCAAAGTTCAAAACTATTCAAATGACTTTTTATAATTAAATTTTATTCATTCAAAAGTGCATTCTTTAAGACTTACTCACCTATAAATTATTATATATTATATTCAAAAATATGTAATAATTCTGTCAAAAGAGCAATTCCATATTTAAATTCAATTTCACCATCAGGAAAATCAATATGTTATTGATTTAATACGTAATTTAGATAATTCTTAGTTTTCTCAAAATCTATTATTAATAAATTATAACTCAATAAATTGATCAAAATAGAAATCACTTTTAATTTTACAGTTAAACTTTTTTTAGGTAAATTCTCTGATTATTCTTCTATTTTAACAATATTTATTATTTTAAATAGATTTTAAAACCATATATGACTTTTAGATCCAAATAATTTAATAGAAATATCTGATTGACTTAAAAAATCAACATCAATTCTTTTATTAGAATGACAATCAAAAACAACATGTAATTCAACTTTCTCTTAAGACCCTTCCAATTAAAATTAAGCTGAAAATGTACACAAAGATTAATTTTTCTTTCCTTTAACCTTACCTATTTCTTAAAATAAATGATAAGCTTTCAAAAATTCTTTGGCAGTCTCTTTTCTAAAACTTCCTCTATTTTTCATAAATAATACTGCATCCTCAACTTGATGTTCTGGTACTCCTACAGAAATAGCTATATTCTTAGCATGTAATGACATATGTCCTTTCTAAATACCTTCCACAGTTAATGCTCTTAAAGCAGCAAAGTTTTAGGCCAATCCAACACATGCCATAATTTCAGCTAACTTTTAGGAATCAGGATATTCTAAAATCTATAAGACTGCTTAATATAAAGGATTTTAAGAAATAACTCCTCCCTAAGTTCCTACAGATATAGGAATAGATAATTCCCCTATAAATTCATTTCCATCAATCCAATATTTTGATAATGGCTTATATTTACCATTTAAACAAGCATATCCATGCAATGATGCATTCACTGCTCTACCATCTTAACCTGAAGCATTACATACAGCCTCAATTCCATTCAAAATTCCTTTATTATGAGTAACTGCTCTAAAATAGTCTAATTCAGCAAATTTATATGCATTTAGAATCATTTAAGCTACTTATTATCCTGAATAATGCTTATAATTCATTTTTTCAATGTTCAATCTAAATAATGAAGTGACCTTTCTATTTAAACATAAATTTGTTAATATCTTTATACCAACTTAATGCCCAGTAATTTCTTCAATCAAAGGAGATAAATGTTCTAATACTGTATTAACTATATTGGCACCCATACTATCACAAACATTAATAAATATATCTACAGAAGCTTGACCTTCTCCTAATTATCTTAATTTAACATCTTCAATTCCGCCTCCTCTTTTTACCATATTTCCACATGCTTAATTTCCTCTATTTATTATTGATACTTTATTTGAATCTATCAGACATTCTGCCTTTGAATAATTATCAACATTTAACAATTACATTTAACCCATCATAACTGGTCTAGTTGAATATGTTTCAAATCCATTTCCACATTCTGCAATAGTTTTTGCTGCTGCACTTGCTGCTGCTATTACAGATGGTTCTTCAATAGCCATAGGTATTATATAATATTGACCATTTATTAGAAAATTTAATCCTAATCCTAGTGGAATTCCTATTTTTCCAATGCAATTTTCAACCATTAAATTTGCATTTTATAATGACAAACCTCCATCTTTGAAATGTTCAACATTAACATTCTAAATTTTATTCAATTAATCTAATCTTTATTGTAATGTCTTTTTGTAAAACCCTGCCCATAATTATGCATACTCTTATTTTTAATCTTTATCATCAATTTCTTGAACAATTTATTATCTAATTTAACCAATTCTTTATTGAGCAGCTCTATTATCCATAATATATTAAAAAATTATTTATATAATATATTATATCATCATTCACAATCAATCAATACTAATTAATAGTANCCACAGTTAATGCTCTTAAAGCAGCAAAGTTTTAGGCCAATCCAACACATGCCATAATTTCAGCTAACTTTTAGGAATCAGGATATTCTAAAATCTATAAGACTGCTTAATATAAAGGATTTTAAGAAATAACTCCTCCCTAAGTTCCTACAGATATAGGAATAGATAATTCCCCTATAAATTCATTTCCATCAATCCAATATTTTGATAATGGCTTATATTTACCATTTAAACAAGCATATCCATGCAATGATGCATTCACTGCTCTACCATCTTAACCTGAAGCATTACATACAGCCTCAATTCCATTCAAAATTCCTTTATTATGAGTAACTGCTCTAAAATAGTCTAATTCAGCAAATTTATATGCATTTAGAATCATTTAAGCTACTTATTATCCTGAATAATGCTTATAATTCATTTTTTCAATGTTCAATCTAAATAATGAAGTGACCTTTCTATTTAAACATAAATTTGTTAATATCTTTATACCAACTTAATGCCCAGTAATTTCTTCAATCAAAGGAGATAAATGTTCTAATACTGTATTAACTATATTGGCACCCATACTATCACAAACATTAATAAATATATCTACAGAAGCTTGACCTTCTCCTAATTATCTTAATTTAACATCTTCAATTCCGCCTCCTCTTTTTACCATATTTCCACATGCTTAATTTCCTCTATTTATTATTGATACTTTATTTGAATCTATCAGACATTCTGCCTTTGAATAATTATCAACATTTAACAATTACATTTAACCCATCATAACTGGTCTAGTTGAATATGTTTCAAATCCATTTCCACATTCTGCAATAGTTTTTGCTGCTGCACTTGCTGCTGCTATTACAGATGGTTCTTCAATAGCCATAGGTATTATATAATATTGACCATTTATTAGAAAATTTAATCCTAATCCTAGTGGAATTCCTATTTTTCCAATGCAATTTTCAACCATTAAATTTGCATTTTATAATGACAAACCTCCATCTTTGAAATGTTCAACATTAACATTCTAAATTTTATTCAATTAATCTAATCTTTATTGTAATGTCTTTTTGTAAAACCCTGCCCATAATTATGCATACTCTTATTTTTAATCTTTATCATCAATTTCTTGAACAATTTATTATCTAATTTAACCAATTCTTTATTGAGCAGCTCTATTATCCATAATATATTAAAAAATTATTTATATAATATATTATATCATCATTCACAATCAATCAATACTAATTAATAGTATTGTACAGCATTATAATTAAATAATTTATTATTATATTTGTAATCTGTACAATTTTTTTCCTTAATTAATCATCTTAATTGCTGCATCTTTTACAAAACTTGAAAAAGTATATTTTTATAAATATTCATAAATATTCCAAAATTTATTACTTCTCTTTTTTTAAGTTTTAATCCATAATTTTAATTAAGCTTCAATTTAATATTATGGCATGTAATATTATGACTTTAATGAAATTGAATCAATATTTAGAGAAGGTTTCAAGCCTTTTTAAAGTGTTGTCTCTATCTCTTCTATCATACTATATTGTTTAGGAATTAAAATTTCATCATTCGACTATACTATTCTGCGTTATGATTATTTTGTTTCTTGGACAAATGGTATTACCTTAAGATAAGACAATTCTAATTAAAGAATAATTTACTTTTCTGTCCTTTCCCTATATGATTCTACGTTACTTTTCTCTAATTTTATCTTAAAGCTTGTTGATCTATATTTATATCTTTTTCACTTGTTATGTACTATTATGATGTAATTTATTGTTCCGATATGACAGATTTCTCATTTTATAATTCTTGATGAGATATTAGATCTTCATTTAATTAATTTTCTTCTTAATATATTTTTAATGATTATTCTATCATTTAATTTTAAGCTAAAGTATTATTTTTCGATTTTCTCCTTGATCTGTATCTACTTATATTACATTCTTCTTTAAATGAATCTTTTTTTAAAATACGTTCTAAATCTGGTTTAAATTGAATTAATGGACAATCTATTTCCTGATGAACATATCTATTACAAAAGTTACATTTGTGATCAAATAAAACAAAGTTCTATTTATAAATCATCTTGTCTTTTATATGATGAAAGATTTCTAAATCTTTTTAATTCTACCTTATTATATCTAGAAATTTCTTTCTACTTATTCTATAAAGTTAACTAGGTCCTTAACTGACTGCTGTTTCTTTTGGAGCAAATCCAGTAAAAAAAGAATAGTAACCTAAATATTAAGATGTTTTTAGATTTCTTAATTTAAGTTCAGTTTACATTTCTATTTAATTTACATCTCCTTATTAAATAAAATAACTAAATTTATTAATATAAATAATACAGATTATCTTCATGAATATCTCCCTATTTATATATAATGTCTCCTGGCAAAAATGAAATCAATTCTAGATTTTTTGCAACTTATTATTATGCAAATTTTGAAAAATGATTAATTATTAATTTCATTTTTTTTAGAACTCTAGTTTATATATCATTATTTAAATCTTTTTACAAATTATTTGGTAATAAACTAATTATATTATCTATTTCGCTTTAATTTTCTACATTATCTGAAGTTGAATGGATTCTTATGTAATTTCTAATTCTGCCTTGAATGTTCTCATCTACTTGATTTTTATGCATATATTAAGTTATTTAAATCAAGTTCTTTCTGATTTATTTAATAATTGTTACTTATATGTTTATTTGGCATCATATAGATTTTTCAAAATAATTCCTATTGAACTCATAGTATAAGCAAAAGCATAACTAGAAAAAAACATGATAATAGATGATATAATCATTTCAACTTAATTTGAAGCAGATATATCACCATAACCAACAGTTGTCATTGTCATAGTTGCCCAATAAAATGATGCATTGTATTAATGCCAAGATGAATATTCTGTTAAATTATGTTCCATCAACCATGAAGTTCCCAAATATTTAGTTTTTTCTCCTGTATAATGCCATAAACATGCAATTATATGAGCAAAATAATATATTTAAATGATTAATTAAATTAAATCTAAAATAGCATTCTAACCTCCTTTCATATAGAAATATTGAAAATATTCTGCAAGGTATCTTTAGATATTCTAATATATTAGTATAATTTCTAAAATTATTGTAATTTCCAGAATTTCATTGAATATTACTTCATGTTTTAAGCAAAACCAAATAAAAACTCTTAGGAAATCTACAAAAGCATTTGATTTTAAATACTCTTTGATTATTGACATTCTATTAGTAATTAGTATAGCTGATATAAATATTCCTCTGTTAAATTAAACTAAGAAATCAATTATTTGAAATATTAAGATAATTTATTAAATAATAGATATGATATCGTTTTGATAATTATTAAATGATCCTATAAAGGGAGTTAACCATAGCATTAAAAGATTGTTTAGAAACCCAAAAATATCCCAAACAATAATTGCATTTGTGGAAGGTAAAAATATTGGAATCCATGCTAAAGTGTCTTAAACTATAATTAATCATAAATTTATCTTACTATGTTCTTTTTTCTAAGAAGTTGAATTTTTTTCGAATAGTTAATCATTAATTATTTATTTCTATTAATTTCTTAAGATATATGAGTTTGTAAAGATATTATTGACGAATCGATGAACGTGCAACTACAATTTAAAATTCTGAATGAAATTTGATTATTTTTATGTTTGAAGGGTCTTTAGAGTTCTTAATGGATATTGTCCTCGTCTCCTAAATTCAGACTTCAATAGTTACAATAATTACTTTACTTTCAAAACGAGACATATTCATATCAAAACTTTTGTTTTCATTCATTTCTCTTAAACTTTCCTACTAAATTTCATCCTCTAATATTATTTGTGATGATGATTCCTATTTCGAACTGAGTTATTAAGTTAAAGAAGTTGGACCAATTCTTTATAATCTTAAATGTTACTCCATTTAACAAATTTTAATTCTTTACAAATTATACAGTATTTTATTATTTAAAGAATTTTATCGCTTAGATAATTTCTATATCATAAGATATATAAGTTTAATATAATAATATAAAATCATTGTTCATCTATTAAATTTTATGTAAATTTAAGTGGTACATCTAACATTGACGAATCAAAAATTAATTCAAATTTGTTTTCGAATGAATCATATATGAATTTTTTTGAATTATAAAATTAAGGAGGAGGATAAAGAGGGTCTAATACTAGTTTAAAGAGATCTTCAATTAATTAAGGAATTAATTTAGTTAAAAGAGGACCTGAACATTCCAAACAAGGATTTGTGTTAGTTTCAATTAACCAAACTTTAAATTTATCATCAATCATAAAATCTAATCCAAATAATTCAAAACTATTTTCTTTTCTGTTAGGATCCAATTTTCCATATGTTGCTTTAAATTGATCTAATGCTATATTCCTCATTTGTATATAAATTGTTTGATAAAAATCAATAGGTAAGAAATTATTAAATTCTTCAAATGAAACTTTATTTCCTTTTTCAAATCTACCATAATCTTCTGAATACTTTTAGACGGCATCATTAGTTAAATGAATCAACTTATTTGATAAATTCATCAAACTGAATTCTTAACTAGAGGTTCGAATATACCCATCTTTATACCAATAACCTTTATGTTATCCATTAACAGAAGTAAATAAGATATAACATCTAATATCAAATTTTCTTTAATTATATAATAATGGATTTTCAATATATTTTTAAACAATAAATGTTTTCTATGCTCCATTTTTATGATGATGGATACTTCTCAAATATTATTATACTTCATTAATTGTTTAAAATATATGAATTCCATGACCTCTATTCGTAAGTTCAGCTGGTTTAACAATCCAAATAGATTAATTTTGATTTTATTGAACAAAATTTTAAAGGTCCTCTTTATTTTTTATATGATATGTTTAAGGTAAGAAATCAAAAACATTCAATCCTTATTATTCATAATACCTTTTCATATTATAAAAAAGATTCTTCTTACTACCTAAATGTGTATTATTTTATATATGATTATGTAATTTACTATTCCCATTAACTTCAAATAATCTCAAAGTCTAAGAAAATTTTAAAGCTTGATCAAAAGAAATGATTTTAGAATTCTTTCCTATTTTTTTTCTCATTTTTTATAATTAAAAACTTAATTAATTAGGCAGTAAGTTATAATATTATATTTCTTAAATTATTAGGTTTTATTCCTAATTATTAACTTATTATTAAAGTATTTCTTGATTTGATTCAGGAATCAATTCAATATAAGAGTTATTCCTCAATTATTACCATAAAAAGTTTACCTATTCTTTTTCTTTATCAACAATTGACCACCACCATCTTCTTTTTAAAATCCATTATACTAATTGTCCATTATTACCTTTTCCAATGTAAGCTTTATATGAGTTGATCATAGGTTAAACATATAAGTTATTAGATAGATTTATTGAATTATAATATGTTCTTAAATTAGCATAGTTAAGTTGAAATTCTGGATCAGAAGAATATCTTTCATCTTCAAAATAGATACCATTAAATTTTTATTTAACAATTTTCTTTTTCAAAGCCTTCAAAGGAAAAATGTCTGGTTGATATGAAATTTTCGGTTTTATAATCTTTTTTGGCATTTAATGCAATGTATTGCCTACTAACACACATTTTTCATCCTATTCCTTTTGTAATTTTTTCTCTTTAATTTTAAAATAAATTAAAGGTGGAAGAAGAGATTCACTTGATGAATCAGATATTAATTCAGTTTTATTCGAATTTTTTGTGCTTGAAACTACTAATCCATAACAAGAAGGTGGATATTCAAATTCAAATTTAGGTAATTTCATTTCTCTAGGACCAATATAATAATGATCTGAACTAGGACTATGAGATGTAAAACTTTTTTTCATTACTTTTTTAAAGTAAAATAATTCTAAATTATATATTACTCTTATAAATAGCAAACATCATAAGATAATTATCACTTATAATTTAAAATATCTCTTCTTATTTTATTTATCATCTTTAAGTAATTAAAAAAATATCTCTTATTAATTTAAACTCCATTACCGATCAAATAAATACAATTTCTAGAAATAGAAATTGACAGAATAAAAATTTTTACTAATTCTTAAGATAATAATAGATTCAAAGAAATTTCTAGAAAAGCATTAAAATGTAGAAAAAAAGATAAAAGAACAACATTTTAAAATAAATTATAATAAAATGGCTAAACCTTAAGGAGCAGGATCTATATGGAACCCGAATAGTTGGCATTGGGAAGAAAAGAATTATACTAATATTGCAAAACAATTAATTGAATAGAAAATTAATTCAATCAAGGTTTAATCAGGAGATGTCACATTAACTAATATAGAAATTAAATCAATAAGTGGAGATGTATTTATTTATTTACTAAATTAGGCTTAAGTAAATATTCGAAAAGGAAAATAAGTTCTAGTCTATGATTTCGATATAGAAGTAGAATGGAGAGGTAATTGTCTTAAAATACAATATTAAAGGCTAAAATGAAAATGATGAAGCAGAAGGAACTTATAAAATTAAAGATTTAAATTCTTTAGATAATGATTTTTAATTGATTCATATCAACAGCAAGTCCAAAACAAAAATTTCTGATAAATGTAAGGACTTAGTTAAGAGAGATATGCACTTAAAATTAAAAGAATGTTTCTAAACTTTAATGTAAGAAATAGGTCAATTTGAATCAGATCCCGAAAAATTGTAAATTATCATAAATAATTTCTAGAAAGAAAGATCAAGAAGCCAGGAAATATGCTGAGGAATAAATTAAATTAGCTAAAGAATAAAATGGAGAATAGAAGGAACGTATATTTTAAGAATAAAAACTTAAAGAAATGAAGATGAAATAAGAATTTCAATAAATTATGTCATAATGATTAAGATTATTCAATTTAAAATTATAGTGTATTTAAATTAGTTTAATCATTTCCATCGTTATTTAATTGATGTATGTTTATCTTAATAAACTTACTTCTTTGCTGGTTTAATTGACATTCCTCTAATATGAGATCTACTAGAGCAAGCACTAAAACTGTAATTATTTGTTCTTTTTTCCTTTTTTGTTATAAATTCTAATTCAATATTCTCCTTATTTTAACGATTTTGATGATTAGTTTAAGGTGAATTATTAGCTGTATGTTTACTTAATTTTTTTTCTTTATCACATTTTTAATTTTCAGATGGACGTTCTTTGTAATTGTAACTTAATTAAGATTGTTTTAATTCTTCATTTAAATCTAGTTTTATTTTTGATGAATTAACAGACATTAAAATTGCACTTTCTTAAAATTTGAGAGTTTTTTATGAATGAAACATAAGTACTTCATCTAATCTACATATAATTTAATCTTCATTAATTCTTAATTTCGGATCCTCTTTAAGCATGTCAATAATTACATTCTTGAGTAATTCTAAAAATTATATTAATACTTACATGAATAGATTCCTGTATTTATTNCAGGATCTATATGGAACCCGAATAGTTGGCATTGGGAAGAAAAGAATTATACTAATATTGCAAAACAATTAATTGAATAGAAAATTAATTCAATCAAGGTTTAATCAGGAGATGTCACATTAACTAATATAGAAATTAAATCAATAAGTGGAGATGTATTTATTTATTTACTAAATTAGGCTTAAGTAAATATTCGAAAAGGAAAATAAGTTCTAGTCTATGATTTCGATATAGAAGTAGAATGGAGAGGTAATTGTCTTAAAATACAATATTAAAGGCTAAAATGAAAATGATGAAGCAGAAGGAACTTATAAAATTAAAGATTTAAATTCTTTAGATAATGATTTTTAATTGATTCATATCAACAGCAAGTCCAAAACAAAAATTTCTGATAAATGTAAGGACTTAGTTAAGAGAGATATGCACTTAAAATTAAAAGAATGTTTCTAAACTTTAATGTAAGAAATAGGTCAATTTGAATCAGATCCCGAAAAATTGTAAATTATCATAAATAATTTCTAGAAAGAAAGATCAAGAAGCCAGGAAATATGCTGAGGAATAAATTAAATTAGCTAAAGAATAAAATGGAGAATAGAAGGAACGTATATTTTAAGAATAAAAACTTAAAGAAATGAAGATGAAATAAGAATTTCAATAAATTATGTCATAATGATTAAGATTATTCAATTTAAAATTATAGTGTATTTAAATTAGTTTAATCATTTCCATCGTTATTTAATTGATGTATGTTTATCTTAATAAACTTACTTCTTTGCTGGTTTAATTGACATTCCTCTAATATGAGATCTACTAGAGCAAGCACTAAAACTGTAATTATTTGTTCTTTTTTCCTTTTTTGTTATAAATTCTAATTCAATATTCTCCTTATTTTAACGATTTTGATGATTAGTTTAAGGTGAATTATTAGCTGTATGTTTACTTAATTTTTTTTCTTTATCACATTTTTAATTTTCAGATGGACGTTCTTTGTAATTGTAACTTAATTAAGATTGTTTTAATTCTTCATTTAAATCTAGTTTTATTTTTGATGAATTAACAGACATTAAAATTGCACTTTCTTAAAATTTGAGAGTTTTTTATGAATGAAACATAAGTACTTCATCTAATCTACATATAATTTAATCTTCATTAATTCTTAATTTCGGATCCTCTTTAAGCATGTCAATAATTACATTCTTGAGTAATTCTAAAAATTATATTAATACTTACATGAATAGATTCCTGTATTTATTTTATTGATATATTTTTAAAGATTTAATTATTGAAATGATGTGGTATCATAGATATTAAAATCAAAAGGTGTCGATTTAGTCATTATAAATAAACATACCAATCCTAAACTAAAAATTTAGGCTGTTATATTTGATTTGCATTTTCCAGTTAAAACTTCAGGAGCCAAATAATAATCTTGATGTTTGATATTTCCTTATCTTATTCTTTATACATCACTCTTTTATAAAAATAATTCTGGATCTAACATGATATATTCAGGTAATAAAATCTCTTTAGGGTGTATTTAAACTTTATTTTGATTCAGATTTGAAAGGATTTATTTTATGATGCAAACTATTTATGTTTCTTTCAGTGTGAATTCTTGAGTTAATACAAATCGATGTAGAGTTATTTGATTGTAAGAGAAAAATGCTTTTATTTCATTTTGAGATCCACAGAATGTAATTTTATCAACTTCCTCAAAAGATTTTAAAATTGGAATTGATGTTAACGATTACAAAAAGACATCCTTTGCATTAATATCATATTGGAGCCTTTTTTCACATAGATTGTCTCTTTCAATTATTTGGCCATAATTATAATCAAACTTGCTCTGATCAGCACCCATTGATTTAACGAATAAATGCAATAAAATTATTAGTATAATATATTTGATAATCAAAATTCATGATTTTTATAAAGTTTAAAATTTTTCCCCTTTTGATAAGAGAAATATTAGGTAAAGGCGATTACTTTTTAGATTTATTTAAGAGTTGAGAATCTTAAATAGGTGAATAATGTATCTTTAGTTAATTCTTCTTTTTTCAATGCATTTAAATTTTTATCTGACTCAAATATAATCTCTTCCATTCTGCTTAATTCCTTTAAGAACCAGTTATAAAAAGATTAGTTTTTGGAACTTTGATACCTCCTTTTTACCAAGTGGAGGTAGAAAAGACAGTTTTTAGGATGCCTATGGTTTGTAACTAAATTGAGCAGATAAATTCAATCTTTCCATTTTAAGAGATATAAACATTAAAAATGCAATCATCAAGTTTGTCTGGATTGATTATTATGATTCTTTTGAGCTTTCTAAAGCTTCATCATTTTCTCCTACTTTAATTCTTATCTATTGATTTAAAGTGATCCAAAAAATATGTTTAATGAATTTTAAGAGGGAATATTCTAACCCAATGTTTTGATATAACACCATAAGACCTATGTCTCTTCTTAAAATATTTAGAAAATTCATTGAAGGTTTTACAAATTCTTCAAACTTTTCTTTATTTTATCCAAAGAATTATTTATTAAGGATGTAAAAATTAAAACAAGTGCATCCAAAACTGAGTTTACAGAGTGAATTGCCTAAAACTCCAATTCTGGATATTTTTCCTCTTTACAGATGAGACATTCCAGGATATAATTTTAATTATATTTTTTTTGTTATTTTTGGGTATATTTTTCTTTCTGAGTGCGTGAATGCCAGAACGTGTGGATTTATCAAAGCACGTTCAGGGTCCTCTAGGGGCTCCGTAATTCTAATGGAGGTTCATAGCTCCATTATGGTTTAATAGCTCTATTCATCTAACTGTTTCCTTAATTTAAATTCTTCTTGTGGTCATTTTGCTAATGAGCCTTAATTGTGTTAAGAAAACATAAATGTCTTCTTACATTTGTGACACTCCACAATAAAATCTCCTTTATCATTTTAGAAGATTTTTCGTTATGGTTTTAGTCAAATTAAATTTAACTCTTATCTTATGAATGATTTGAATTTGTTTTTATTTTTTCTGTCAATCAAGCCATTTTTGTTATTAGATTTGGTTTAGATTGAGTTTTAAGGTAAACTAAAATTAAGTATTTTTGGTTATTTTTTTTGGAATCTATTTTAAATTTAAGGTTCCTTTTTATTTGATTTAATAAAATGAGGTTTTACATAGACCACATCCCACCCTTTTTTTAATTTCATTTTTTCTTTGGTTGCTGATTTCACTTCTCTCGTCTTAATACTTGAGAAATGAACTTTTTCATATTTAGGAATACCGAATTCATCTGGCTTGAAAGTGATTACAATTTCCAAGATCCCATTAATTTGAAAGGCAGATTTGAAAACTATATTTGGTCTCAGTATTTTCAGATGTTGGAAATGCTCTATAATGCACATTCCAAGACACTTTGAGGTAGTCCTTATTTCTCCTTCACTTTATATATATATAAATTAAGGAATTATTAATTTAATAACAAGTTTGTTTTTAATTTATTATTTTTTATATCTTTATTTATAAACTATATCAGTTTAATATTTAGAAGATGAATCCAGCATATATTTATAATTTAGTTTAGTTTATTGTTTGATGTATGAAAATTAAAATCTTTTGTTATTAATCCTCAAAATATAAATAACAGCCGAGTATTTAAGCTCATATGATTGAATTTTAACATTTAATATTTTTTTAGTAATTTTTATTGATTCTTTGAGTAGTATTTTATTCTAGTTCATCTATCCGTTTTAATTAATTATAATTAATTATGAAATTAATAATCTTGATTCTTATATTCACTAGTGTTATGGGTGCAATATTCGAATAAGGATATGTGTCATCAAGCACAATTTCAGCCCATAAAATATACCGACAAGTATTTGAATATTGATTAAGCAAGGATATAAAATTTAATAATAATTTTACAGAAATTCCAAAAATCGTTTTGAGTGTGATTGGTTACCACTCTAACTACAATACTTTAGACTTCTTTTCAAGAGTAACTGACATTACAAATGAGGGTATTATACTTTGATTATGAATAAAGGTTTTTAATTGCAAGTTATTAGTGATTGTGAAATCAATGAAATTAGATTTAATTATTTAGCAACAGAACATAAAGATGTTTAAACTATATGCAATAATATTGAAGTTTAAAAAGATTAAATAGATATTAAATTTATTACCGCATTTGAAGAATAACCATAAGTAGCAGCCTTTTTAACAGGAATTCACAGAAAAAATTAAGATGATATAATTTTAGAGATAAAATCAATTGATAAAAATCAAGTTCATCTAACTACCCAATCCAAAGCAGAAAGTTCTATTGGTTTATGTTTACTAATAGGACCTTAGGATGTATTTAATAGAAAAGAATTACCTATTATGTAAATATCTCAAGGATTACCAAATACTTATTTTTATGGAATATCATCGTTATCTGGAATAACAGATAAAGGAGTATAATTGAGTTTAAATTAATAATATGTTGAAAACTCATATGAAATAGGATTAACACTGATAGAAATCAATCCAAAACATATTAGCAAATAAGAAGAGGCTGATGATAATAATAAATTATCATTTGATGATTTAGTAGATAAGTTTAGTCCAGTTTAACAATAAATAAATACTGATATTTTTCAGACTGAAACCAAAACAAAAATAAATAGTATATAAATAACTTAGGAAGAATTAGATTCAGAATCTCAGATAAACTCTATATCTTTCATCTATCCAGAATAATAAGATCACTAATTGTATATTGAAGATGAAGAATAAAATCTTTAATCAAATCAAGTAGATGTCTAATAAATTATGACAATTAGTGAATCATGGTTGTAACATGACTTATCAGTAGTAGATTAATCTATAAGCTAATCATAAGAATCTCTTGATAGCAATTAAACTTAAATAAATGAAGGATAACAATTTTTAACAAATTTAATTAAACCTCAAGATTATAACACAAATTCAATAGATTATGAAGATTATTAATCACTTAATCGTTAACCTGAGAATATTGTTATTGTTGATAGTACTTAATAAATTGTTGATGAGAACGATAATAAAATAGAAAATAATTAAGATTTTGAATTTGATAACTCTAATTAAATGGATTCCTCAATTAAATATGATATTGAAAATGAGATAGAAAATTAAATAGAGGAATAAATAGATTCCTCATAATAATAAACTGTTGTTGAAGATTTACAATAATAGATGGTTGAAATGCAAAAGGAAATGTAAAATTTGTAATAAAATTCTGAAAGTACTTTATCATCTGAATTTGATCCATTTAAAATAATTGAATAACAATAATTTATTGTTGAATAATAAAAATAATTGGTTGAATAATAATAATAAATCATATTATAATATTAAAGATTATTTGAAGAATAAATTAAATAATTATCTGATAAACAACCAACTAGCTAAATGGATGTATAATAAGTAGATTAAGAATTAAAAGGAGATACAGAATTATAAGAAAATAAAAATGAAGTTACAAAATAAGATTCATTAGAAAATAAAGCGATCCAAAAAGAAAACCTTCAAAAAAAATTAGAAAAAGATTATGTATAATAAAATTAAGAAGATTCTTAAACTGAAGAAAAATTATAATAAAACACTTAAGATTAAAAGTATGTTTTGTAAGATATTCCAAATTTAAGTTTAGAATATAAGAATGACTTAGAAAAAGATTTAGAATCATTTGACAGACTCAAATAAAAAAAAGACTAAATTGATGAATAACAAGCAACTAAAATATTAAAAGAAATAACTAAAGATCTATAATTTGATGATAAATTGGAAGATACAATAAATTAATTTGAAGACGGTCTTAATGATGTATTATAAATTAAATAACGCAATGTTATAGAATCAAATTTAAATAATGAATTTACAAACATCGCTTCAAATAAGAGAGTTGAATTTAGCAATGTTTTAAATAAAATTTCAAGTAATTCAAATTTTTTTATTTTTAGACTAAAACCTTTAAGATGTGAGTAATTAAGTTAAAAACATAAGTTTAGAAGAAATTAGTGAAGCAATATTCCCATAAGAATACGAAATGGAATAAGCATACATTGATTGGTCAATGAATTAAGGTTTCATAAAAAATAGAAATGATTAAGTAATCAATTAAGAACTTGTTTAATAGACTATTATGCAAAACTAATAAAGCTAAGAAGAATTATAAAAATAAATTGAAGAATTCTTAGAATTAGATAATAATGATTAGCAATTCAGTGATCCACTTTTTGATGATTTTCATTCATTCTTTTCTGTGAATTAATAAGTTAAAAACAATTTAAGGAAGAGAAAAGTATTAAATGTTTGAATGATTTCATTATAATAAATAAAAAGAAAAAAACTATTTCTTTATTTTTATTTTTTTTTTAATTAAAAATCTAATTATTTATTTTTATTTTAAAAATTCTCATAATTCAACAAATTTAGGATTCCTTTTATTTGATTCAGATTTAGTTAAATTTATTAGTCTTGATATTAATTTTAATACTCTAATTAAACTAATATCAATCAATAAAAAAAATCACTTTTTTTTCGAAGCCATCAGACACAATCGATTTTACCAAATTTTATTGAATTAAATTATCGAAATATCTCCTTAGAATCTCCATTTTGGTAAAAGGAAATCTTATAGATTGAGGTTATAGAAAAAATATAATTAGAATTGCCTAAAAATACATATCATAATGTTACAAATATAATAGAATTAATTTTAATACTTAAGTTTAAGGTTTTCTATTCATATTATTAGTTATTCAAATAAAAGTAATTAAAAAAAATTTTAGAGATCATTATATTTTTTTTTGCACAAAATATCAATTTTAGAAATTGAAATAAAATTTTAGAATATATTATTAAATTTGTAGTGATTTCATAATCTAAAATATGCTTCTACTTTGATCAAATTTATACGATCAGTTATCTCATTTCCATTTCTATTATAGATTCGAAAGCTTTAAATATGTTAATTAGAAAATTTTATTTTGATTATTCCTGTAGCAACAGTTGAATCAAAAATGACTTTCTCTTTATCTTTGAATGATGTATAGACAATCAGACTATATTGTCGGGCACCTCTATCCCATAGCCAAAACGTAAAAGTATTCAATTCATAAACTTAGATTAAGGTTATTATGATAGATTTATCAATATAACAGTAGGTAAAGCCAGTGCTTGTGGTTACCATATAAATTTAATCTCGAAATAAGAGTCCATTTTTCTGACCGCCTTCTAATGAATTACTCGATCTTGTTACTAAAAGGGGACCTTTTGATTAAGATAGAACATTCTAATAATTGCCTCTTATAATTGATTTCAATTTTGATTTCTGACAACTATTCCCTAAAATGAGAAGCAAGTTAAGGAAAAGTAATTTATAATAAACTTAATTTGTATTTAGCATTAAAATTAAAGATTGTTATCAACATAATCCAAATTTGATTTTGAAATATTTATGCTATTGTTAAATATTAACTTCTTGTCACCATAATTAATAAATAAATTATGTAAATAATTATTTTTAATGTAAAAAAACTATAGACTATTAAACATTCCTATAATTTGAATAATCAAAAATTTAAAGTATCTTAGTATATAATAATTTATTTTGGATACTCATATATAGAAATATTGTATTAATTTAAATTAAATAAGCTAGTATTTATTCTGAATATTAAAAAAAATTAATTTATAATTTATTTTTTCATTTTCTATTAAAATGAGTATAGTAGTAGTGTCGACATAAAATACTTAGAAGGAAATCCCAGAAAAAGGGACTAACTTTGGAGATCTAATTGACGAATTCGAGCCCTCTGGAAAATTTGTGGACTATTAGTTTGCATACGATGGAAAGATACTACAAAATATTTCAAAAGCAACAAAACTAGCAGCTATATGTTAAGGTAAAGGAGGACGCATAGAGATCTAAGTATTATTCAAATATATAAAAGAGAAAATAATCAAACTAACAGTTTTCAAAAATTTTATCAACTAATCCACAACCAAATTAGCCATCACCTTTTACTTAGCAAACATATTAATAAAATACTCCTTCAATTAATCAATAAGAATAAAAAAGCAGTTCAATTCAAAAAGGTGAATAACCTGCAAGTGTTTGGGATACTGTATTACAACCTAATCTGTAGAATCCTTAAGAAAAACAATAAGTTAATTTTGGATCTAATCCATAATTGAAAGCTAGTCCTTTTATAAAACCTTCTGTTCAACAATCTGCTGGCCAAAATTCATTTACTCCCATACCTGTTAATGTTTCTGCTACTCCTGGTCCTTTCGTTCCAGCAGCTGTTTCTACTCCTCCTGGTCCTTTTGTTCCATCAGCTGTTCCTACTCCTCCTGGTCCTTTCGTTCCAGCAGCTGTTTCTACTCAAGCTCCACCTTTTTCTTAAAATTAACCAATAAATATCATATCCCCCCCAATACCTAAATTTACTTAACCTCCAGTCATAAGTCAAACAATTTAGCAACCATAAACATAAACACTAAGAAAAACAGTAAAATATAAGAGTTAAATTAATGACGAGTACAATATTATTTATACTTAGATAAAAAATTATAAATGATTATAAAATCAAGATCACAGAAAAAGGAAACAGAGTGGAACTAGAAAGTGAGAAATATGATATGAAGGTAGTATTTTTAGAAGAAAATGCCAATGAAGTAATTTAAATAAAAAAATAATAGAAAATATAATCAGAAATAAAAAAATAATTAACTAAAGATGCATATCCATAAGATATTAAACTTTTGGTTAAATGTCTAGTAGGGGAAGAAAATTAGTCAACAAAAGTTATTTTTAAGAAAAATTTTGATGGATTGGCAATTTAATGGGCAACTGGCTTAATTACATTGTTTGATTTTAAATTGGATTATTGAAATGACATATCAAAGAATAATAATGTTTAAAAATAATTTATTTTATCTTATCTATATTATTTAGGATTCCAAAAAAAAATAATTATTTATCTTATAAATTTAGAAACAAACATGCACCTATATTCAGAACTTTATTAATAAGTATGCAAGCAATAATGGAATTATTATTAACCAAAATTAAAAAAATAGGCTTTTTTAAAATGATCTTCTATTCATTGTAAAAACTATCATAGGGTTAGAAGTCTTTTTAAATTTTTGAATACTTTTGTTAATCAAAATTAATCTTTAAATACAATTATTTTGAGATAGAATATTATTTTTTTAAGTTCTATCAATATTTAATAGACTAGGTAGTAAAAATGATAACCTTTTTAATGATTTCCAATCTTTATCAACCTCTAGACTTAAATACATAAATAATCCACTTTGATGTAAATATTTGGATAATTCACTTTATGTATCACTTAATTATAATATGAATGGGTTTAAAACATCTTTAATTTATTACATTAATGTTGAGATTTGATAAGAAGTATCGTTGTCTTTTAAATCTATATAGTCTTCTTCAAGAATTTTGGCAGTAGCTATCGGCAGAATATACTTAGTTTACTCTTCATTATTTAATTAAAATTCTGTTGGCTGTTTATTAGATAATTCGACAATATCTTCTGTCAAGATTTATGCAGTTATCTAACCCTTGATAATTTAAACCAATTGCAATTACGCCAAATATCCAATCTATTTATAAATGAATACTTTACATCTTAATTTTTTTTAGATTTGAAAGCTATAACAAATTTTTTAATATTAGCAAATATCTTTTTCATTAATTCTTGATTTTTTGGAAAACTCTTTAATTACTCCTTCTCTAAAATAATTCTTTAATATTAATATGGTGTAATAACTTCTGTTGTATAGAGAATAATTAATTTTTCAGGTTAGTTATTAATTCCCTATTTATCTTGAAATTATTATTTTTCAGGATTAGAAGTGATATTCAAATGCCTTTTCAACTCATTTACTGTAGACTTAATAAGTAAATTTTCTTTCAAATTCTTAATCTCTATAGTGATGGTACCTCTAAAATAAAATAAATATTTAAACCTGCATGTTGGACAACGTGGAATCTATTTAACTGCATTAGTGATACATTCTTTACAAAATGTATGTCCACAAGGTATAGTTATTGGATTAGTTAAGAAAGTCAAGCACAAGGAACATTCAAATTCTTATTAAAAGAACTTAGGTATAGGTGTTGAATCGATCATTTAAATTAATGTTTAAATATTTATGAATTATTCTAATATAAAAAGAATAACTATTAGAATATATAATGATATAGGATTACTCTTACTATTACCTTTGTTTATAACAATAATGAAATATTTTTAATTATATAAATATGAAAATATCTAAGAATAAAAAATCCTTACTTTCAAAACCTACTAAGAATTACAGTTATCATTCAACTAATACAAAAAATATCTTTGAAAGTAATTATTTTCTATAATACTTAGCAAGTGTTCCTCCTGATTTACATTAAAAATTTGGTCCTTAATTTAATGAAAAAGGATTAATGAAACATTCAATCATAGGAAAGCCTGAATGGTTTCTTAAAGTTGCTAAATAAAGAGACTCATAATTGAGGTTTATAAATGATGATGATTCATTATTACATTAACGAAAAGTATTTCATAAATAAAGAAGTACTGAAAATTAATATTTCAAAGCAACTAACTAAAATGACTCTATAAGTAATGTATCATCTTCTTTAAGAACACGCAAATTTTCAGACTATAAAGAAAAAATATCAGATAGCACTAATACATGCAATGTTAATCCAATTAATTTTGATGTTGTTGAATAATTTAATCTTATATAATAAATGAAGAAAATTGGAGATTAAATCAAAGTAAACACGAAATAATAAGAATAAATCATTAAAAATTTGAGTATATAAAAAAAGATTTAAGAAATGAAAAATTAGAATGCTATGAATCAATATCATAAATATAACATATAATGGTAAGAATTTAATGAAAAATTAAAAAGTAAAATTGCTTAAAGAACAAAATAAACAACTCTTCTTGACTAATAGTAATGTAATTCTATCTTCTATTGATAGATTACTCCACAAAAGTTGAAACTTTAAATATGCTATAATCTATTTAAAATCAATTAACAGATGATGAAGAAGAATAAAAGAAGAAACTAAATCCTCTCGGAAATCTATTTCTGAAATAAAGAAAAATCTTAAAATTAAAAACAGAGCCTTAATCTATTAAAAATATGGTACATAATTTAATTGCTAAAGATAAACTTTTTTATATGCCAAATTCTCAAAAGTTAAAAACGAGTATTTTAAGTAATGAGCCATTAACAAGAGATAGATGTAAATCTGAATTTAATGAATTGAATGTATAAACAAAAAATTTAATCAAGGTATCTGGAGCAAGTGTTTATGATAAAGAATTATAATCAATTAAATAAATGCCTGATAGATAAAATTAAAGATACAAATTATTTAAACATAAACAAATTGATAAGAGTTCTGAATTATGATGACATTTTTTATTTATTACAATGAACTTACATTAAATAGAAAACGAGAAATTGTAATATTATCACTATTTTATTAACTCTAAATAATCATTAACGCTCCTAAAAGGTTCATTATGATATTGGCATCTTTAACATTGCAAAACGATTTCAAAATTTTGATTTTTGTTAATTAATTTCCACCACACCACACCAATTATTTCAACTTTTTTGAATTGATTTGTTATGGATATCTTAATTGACTTTGTATTGATTAAAGAATTAACATTATTGTTCTATTTTTTTCTTTTTGCAGATAGATAATAAATTATTTTTTATTTAATTTAAATAATATATTGGCATAGTATTCAATCCTGTTTTCTTTTCTTTTTTTAAATTTATTAAGAATCTTCTAATTTTTAATGGCTACTTTCTTCTTAAAATTTCTCTATAGTATCTTATTTTTTATACACTTCATCTAATTCAATTTATGAATAACAAACTATACATTAAGGGAGTTTTTTTAATTTATTTGCTTTTTGTATTACATTTTATAATTATTGAGTAGATATTTTATGTCCGCATGGAGTTTCATACTCATCTTTTAACTCAATTTCTTGAATTTTTGGTTTCTATTTATATTATTATTCGAGTTTTTCTGGAGTTTCTAGAAAAGATTCTTTTTTTATTTATTATAGAGATTAAGCTACTGGTATTTATTATGAATATTAAATTTAATTCTCATCTGAATTTCTATTTTATGTTTATAAATCTTATATTTTGATTTCTGAGTTATTTTTGGCAAAAGATTTAAGTTATTCTAATAGCTATTCTAATTCTTATTTTTCTTGATGTAATTATAGTTGAATTTTTATCAACCTATTAACTTATTTTACTTTCTCCTCATTTTATTACTTTAAAAATTAATTCTCATTTTATAATTTTTATATATTATCATTGTTATGCAATTATTTTTAGTTTTCTTATCTCTCAATCTATTTTTTTAAATCAATATTTTCCTTTTGTAATACCTCATATAATTTTTGTAATTCTTCATATTTATTTTATAACTAATCTTTGGATGATTGTAATTGTTCTACACAAAATTAAAGATTATTGAACTTTGATTATAAACTATCATTTTCTTATTTTAATTATAATAATTCCTTGTTTATTTAACTTTAGAGAATAGATGCATTGTTTGAAGATAAAATGGTTTGACTATTATCATTAATTTAATAATAAATTTTTCTAATGTTGTTTTATTAATTTATAAATTCCATTACGTATGTATTCATATTACCTTTAAATAAGGTTGTTTTGTAGCTATAAAATTATATTTCTTTTTCTTATCCATATTTATTTTTTAGAAATATCATTAAATCTAACATCGTAGTTGTGTTTTAAATCTTATAACTTAATTCAGTTTAACTTTCATCTGAATAAAGATTATGTAAACAGATGAGAGTAGATTTGTGATCCGAAATCCTTATAATTGATAACATTTTTATTAATGTTATTTATAATTTATTTGATATTAATAGAAATTGAAATAAATTATCAAATACAAATATAATTTGTCAAATTAATTAATTATATCCATAAATAACATCTTATAAATAATTTGATATTCATCTTCTCTTTGCAAATAATTATATTGGTGGATGCAAGCCAAACTACATGAATTTTATGTTTATTTATTGTAATTTTAGAATAAATAATTTCCATATTTTTCTATATTTTTAAGATTGATATTCTTCTTACATAAATTTGGAATAATTTAATTGAGTATTAAATCTAGAAACAACTAAAAAATCAATTAATTATCCTAATTTTATTATTGAGATACATAAAATTGTAAATCATTCTATTTAACATTATATATAAGAAAATTGTCTAATTAAATAATTATAATTATTAATTTGATTAGAGGTTTCAGATAATATATTAACATTAATTTAAAAAATTTAGCAATTTAATCATATTGATCTTTGATTTTCTTTTTGCTTTAATAATTAATATATTTTTAAATATCTAAATGATTCCAATGTCTATTCTTTATATATTAAATAATAATATTCATAATATCGACGATTGAAAGGAAAACAATTTAAGCATTGTGATATTTTTATTTTAACAATATAAAGTGTTAAATCTAATTAATTATAACAGCACTATCAATGATATTGATAAATTTATTTTTATAAGATGTCAGATGCCTATTAAAAAGCTTCAACATCTTTTTAACCTTATAACAATTAGAAATAAGATACTTTTTCTGTAGATGTATCGATAGATCCTTTTCGATTGCATAGGCCCGTAATAAGAGTTTAAACATCTTTCGAAAAAATTATGTAATATTAGTCTACTGATAAACCTTTTTCACCAATTCCGCATTGTAATAGACATTTGTTATTTTTTTAGAAATACAATCTTCATATGATGGATAAGAGATGTGTTACTTGATGAATAGCCAAAATAAATGTTCATTCAATAATTCATTAGATAGCAAATAATGGTTTCAAAGGCCATTAGACATTTAAAATTCATAATGTAAGTAATCTGTAAATATTCCACTCTAATTTGTTTCACCTAAAGCATCATAAGGAAATAAATATTAAATAGCACAGTAGAAATAAAATCAATCTAGATCATAAAAAAAACATTTTTAAAAAGAATAACTTAAATTTTTTAAGGAAGATTCCGTCTAGAGTGAAGAAATAAATCATCAGGAAGAAAGCAGCATTGTATATAAACCAAAAAAAAAATAATAAATAAAAAATAAGCGACAAAAGCATACAAGTGATAGTTCTGAATCTTTTAGGATATGTAGAAAAAAGAAGATATCTAAGGTCAATGATACTAAAAATATCACTAAAAATTATTCAAAAGCTATTATTTCATATATTTTCAATAATCCTCAAGTTGTTTAAGGATTAATGCAAAAATATAGATATGATGACTTGGTAAATTTCTTAAAAAACAAAAAAAATTCAATGACAAATATCAAATAATTAAGAGATTTATGGTTGGATGGGGGTAAAAATGCGGAATATAATAGAGTTTTTAGGATAATAAGGTAAAATTTTATAAATAATTTAGTTAATTATTCTTAAAAACATAAGCAGTCTCCTATGTTTACAATTCTAGGATTTCAAATACTTAGTGGCATTTGAAATATAGATATAATCTACTAAGAGCTTTGAAAGAACCTGAAAATTTCAAATTTATTAAGGATATCTGAATAAAACAAGTTAATTTTATTTTCAAAAAGTATCCAAAATAATTAATTTTTTCAATAATAATCAAATAAATAAATCATAGTCTTCTTATTAAGAGTCTAATAATATTTTTTCTGTTATCTAATTTTTCATCCTATAAATTTTAACATTAATCTAATAAGTTACTTAAAATAATCTTCATTTTCAATTTAAAAGTGTCATCAGATTGAATAACATTTCTTATAAATTCTTATGATATATTCATAATAAGAATCTCAGGGCATTCAATTTTATTTGTTAATTGTAAATCATATAATTTTAATCCAAATTTAAATTAGAGTTTAATTAATTCTTATTCAAAATATCCTCTATATTATTATAATGCAAAATTATTTAAGAAATCTCTAAATAATACTTCAAAATATGGATTATTAACTTGATTGTTTATTTTTTATTTAACTTATTGTCTAAAACTTTCATCATAATAAAATTTTTCTATTATAATATTTAAAGCATTTTCATTCTCTTCAAGTTTTTATAAATTTTAACTGAATAATTTCTATAATAAGGCTTCGAGTATAATAGATGCTTAATCTCTTTATTAAATCTTTTCAATGCAATGAACAAAGTTCATTACTAAATTAATAAATATTCATACTTTTTTTAAAACTGGTAGAAGAATTTATGATTCCTTATATTTTCTCATTAAATATATCTTAAAATTCCTTTTCGAATTCCTTATATTTCATTTTTCGTGATATTTTAATAATTTCTGCAATTTCCTCAAAAAAATATAAGATTTTCATTTTCATATTGCATATCATTTGGAATTTCTTCAAGAATAGTTTTTATTAATTAAAATTTACTTTTCTAAAATTATATAAAAATTATAGAATACATATATTTCTTATTATGATCTTAATTACTCCTATCCTTAATTTTCAAAATACAAATACACAAAATAAGTTAGATTTTTATCATACTAAAGTAAAGAATTAATAATATTTATGTCTTCTGGTCTTAACACAATTTCTCCAAATAATTATAAAAGATTATCATTATCCTAATCAATAGGTACAATTGTATAATCACAAAATTAAACATATAACATAATATAAGAAATCCAATCTGATTAAGATGCCTTTAGAATTGAATCCATATCACCTAACAAAATTTTATTTATTTCATTTAAAATAGCATCATCATATTATTTTAAATTCTCTTTCACTCGTTTAAGACTGTCTTCCTATAGTTAAGATTGTGTATTTGGAAAAAAATTATGTTTTTTTTATAGCTTCAAAAGTATTGCGAGATAAATTTTTTTCATATTTTTAGATGCATTCGCTAACTTAACCATATCTTAATAAATCAACAGGAGATTTCGAATTACATACTTTATGCTGTTAAACCCATAACTTAAATCTATATCCCAAAAACTCTTAATTATTCCAAATTTTGATTAATAACAATATTAAATAACGATCATTTTAACCATTTTATTTACAAGAAGTTATCATATCATCTAAATATTTTTATTCAAACTTATTTTCATGTTTTTATGCAATTTAGATCAGATGAAGTAAACTTTAATTCATTAATTATTAACTATGATAACTATATATTCTGCTATTTTTATGACTCTTCTTTTACATAAAGGTACAATTTAAGATTAAACACCAGATTTGCTTAATCTCATCCAAGTCCTCATTCAATATTAATTTATACCCACTAGAAGTCTTTTAATCCTCTAGACGCAGTCCTTAATTAGTGAATTCTAATAATGCATGATCAAATGCCATTGTCTGATCTCCAAATGTTTATAATCCGATCATTTTAGATTTTCCGATTGACAAAGTAAATTAGACGCATCCCATTTATGAAGCCAAGACAATATTGCATTCTTAAACAATTTACATTAATCATTCATTCTTTTAAGATTTTGTCTTACTACTTCAGTCGCCCCCATTAATATTATATAGCCTTGCATTAATTAAGTTTTAGTTTCTAAGAGAAGAAATGTTCCTATTAAGCTTCCTCTATCTTATAAATAAAACTATTTTTCTTTAAAAGCGAGCTAAATTTATTAAAATGAATAAATTACCCATACATGAGTCCTACTAATGGATTCATGATTTATAGATAAAAATACTATTGATTGATTATAATTAAATATTATTTTCTGGATTTCTTCCTATGGTGGCATTCTTCTTTATTAGCTTTTTTTAGGTTGGTAATCCTTCTTTTTTATTTTAATAATTAATTAATATTTTGTGTTTTAGGTGATTAAATTAAATAATATTATTTATTAATTATTTTCTTTTATTTCTTAGTATCTTTCTTCTCTTATTTATCAAATTTAGGAGTGCCAAATTATGGTAAATGATAATCAGATTCTTATAAGGATTATTATTATACTTATTTCTATGGGCTTAAAATTATTGGCTTTTAAATTTATTACATCTATTCAGCAAATATATTCTAATAATATAATTTATGCTCCCTTTTTTATTGTTTTATTACACTTATCTTGCTAAGTCTTCTTCTATTATTTTTTATTGAGACTTTGGAGTAGGTAAGATAAATTATTGTTTTTGCCTTCCTCCAAGCGATGGAAGAGGTTCAATAGGAATCTATCCTAATGTAGTTTTTTCTTCAATTTCAACATCATATTCATGTCTTGATTATAAATTCTATCTTGAATCACTTTCAAAGGCAACCTTTCTTTATATGGAATTTCAGCTCTAGGTGATGAAATTTATTGAACTTCCATAAAAGTTTAAACCATTAGTGGAGTAACTTCATTTCTTGTATGTGATTTGCAATAATTTGTAAATTCTTCCAAACCAATTTGAATCCCTGTATTAATTATTTATGTTATTTACATTGTAAAAGTTTCTTTCTTTATAATGCGGAAGTGATACCCATATCTAATAAATCTTAATCTGTTAATATCTCTAAACAAGAACCATCAACGCATTCATTTACTAAAATTTAATTTCAATTAGTGCCTAAATAACTATCCAATTAACAATATCCAATATATTATAGCCATACTAGTACTTTTTGGGTACTCCATTTTTTAAGTGGTTTTGGTATACTCCAAAAATATTTTAATTTCGTTGTTTTGTTAAGTACCATTTCTAACTCAACTTTAATCAACAACTATTTTTTTTTAATTATCACAACTCATTTTAATTTGACAATTTTCTCTCATATTACTTGTTTATTTGTTCATGATTTACATTATCATATGAATTTGAATTTATCCAATGGCTAGCTAAAAATTATGTTATATATCTAATTAATTCCTTGAATATTTATCATATTTTGTTCTTTATGTTTGAATGCTAACATTCAATTATTTGATATTAAAATGAATTTACAAAAAATGTTAATATTATTTTAATTGCATTTAGAAAAAACCATAAGCATTATATTATTTCAAAGACAACAAAACAAATCCATTATTGTAAAAGTAAAGCATCCAAATTAGATTCTAATAATTCCTATTTTGTTGGCTCTTGTATTTTTGAGATACAATTATAAAATGTAATTGTTAAGAAATTTAAATAGGAAAATTCTACAATTTAGAGATCAACCCATTTTGAATGTTCCAAATTAACATTAGAATAAATGTTATTTCAATAATTAATTTACATTGATTATTTCTTTTTATGTATTATGTATATATTTTCTGAATTTGATCTTTTATTTTACTTTATTTTTTTTTCTATGCGCTGCTCAAATGTAGTTTTAAAATACGAAATCTTTTTGATCTAAATATTTATGTATTTAACCCTTTATGCTTTCATTAAATATATAAATATACAAATACTATAATATCTTATTAAGTTAGTCCTTTTAACTGATTTGTGGTGAGTTATTTGAAATACGAACGATTAGGGGAAACAAAATAGAGCACATTAATCAACCATTCTCTCCTGGTAGCTTTTACGATGTAAAACCTAAGTTTATTTCTTAACCAACCAATTAATATCTCTATATATATCTATTTTTGTGGCTTTTTTAATAAGGTATGCTATTGTGATATATATTTGCTTTTCACTATCATTAAAGTAACTCCTAATAAATACTCGCTTTTAATGCAGGCAGATTTGAATTTTGGTAAGTAATACCCTTTCAGCACAAGTCCTGTATATAAAGATTTTTAGGATCCAACTAACCGATTTCATTCTTCAATTGTAATACCCTAATATGCTTTATAAAAAAAATTATGATATTCGTAATATATAGTAAAATGGGAAATAATAAATATCACTTATGTTTTATGAGTCCATTGTACTTTTTATTTAATAAGTTGAAAATATATTTTGTTTTCAAACTAGAAATTTTACATTCCAAATAAATTGAATGACTCGTTATTATATTGAATTAATATTTTACGTCAATTATTTTTGAAATCAATATTTATAGTTTGAATTCTAAATATAAAGTCAAAAGCAATTCTCTTAATTGAAGCTAATATTGATTCTTTTGTAATAATTATTGAAAATTTAAATTAATGTTAAAGAACAATGAAAGCATGATTATCGAGTCTTCTGAGGAAAACAACTTTATTGACAATCATATTGAATAACATGAAAATATATTTGGATATAGTTTGAAAACTTTAAAACTCGGTTTATATAGGGTCTTCATTTAAACTTCATCATAGATGCAAACAGGAATTTTATTAATTAAAATAATTTAATTCATTTAGTATAATAGCTCCTGAAAAGAGTAAAAGGCAGCTTTAACATTTTCTTAACGAAAATGAAGCAAAATAATATTAAAATTCACTCAAAAATCAAGGAGTTATTCAAAAAAAGTGTAAAATAAAAAAAAAAGTACATAAAGTTGATTATAATTGGTTAATTAAATAAATTGTAACCTTTTTTTTTTGATTTGAAAACTGACTAAAAAAGATATATAAAAATATATATATCTGCATTGACAGGACTTACATAAAATTAAATATATTATAAAGAAAAGCAGGTTCCAAATAAAATTTTATTAAACTTAATTTCGTTATACTAAACACATATTGATTGGTTAAGATAGCATGTCGAACAATCAGAAGCTAATTAATTATGGAATTCATAAATTATTTTCAAATCATTTATTCAGGAATTCTAATTATATAAGCATAAGGTCTCATTACAAACCTTCAATAATATACTTAAAAAAAGTGGACTAACTTCAGATAAACTAGATAAAGAAATTAAATATTTTTTCTTAACAATATAAAACAATCAAAGGAAATGTATTTTTAACAATTGTTATCATATATTAAGGAATAGTTTTAGATATTTTATTTAAATGAGTCTTCTTTCACAAATTCATCTACAAATCCAAAATGCTGGTAAATTAAGGAAAATAAAAATATAGGCGAGTGGTTCAAATAAAGTACGTATAAATATTATTGGATGTAAAGGGTAAAATAGTTATGCTCTGTTCATTAACAAATTTTAATGTTATGCATAAAATAGATTATAATTATCTGAAGACTTTCAATAAACATATTATTGATAATTTAATTTAACATAGTTGGATAGTACTAGAAAAATCATTATTGAGATGATAATCGATTAAAATAATTGAAAATTAATATAAATATTAATCCAAAACATAATTTAATAATTATTTCTAGTGTAATAGACGAAATAAATCATCGTAATCCATTGATTGTTAAATTACAAAAAATTGAATATTATAAATACATAAAATATAAATTAACAAAACTAATAATATATAATTAAAAAATATATATTTTTCAAATAAGTAACTATTCCTCAATTAATTCATTAATCAAATAGGATCTAACCTATTAATTTTTACAAATCTCTTTGCCAATTTTTTTGGCTAATCTCCTTAATAAATAGTTATTTTTTTAATTATATTATTCTCAAGAGCAACATTAACATACTTAATTGGTTATAAATTAATTTACTAATTTCCTCTCGATACAGTTATTATTCTATATATTTTATTTTTTTCTAAAAACAAGTTCCTTAAGAAATTATTATTTGATTCAACTATTTTTCCACTTTCCCTTTTACCGTTCTTTTGAGCCTCTCTTTATTGGGGCAATGGAATATAGTTATTCATATAAGACAATTAAGATTTATAAGAATTGGTTGAAATGTAGGGAGTTTCTTCCTATTAAGGTTAGAAATTTCTTTTTATTAAAATGATATCTAGGGCTAGTCTAAGTTGAATTAATTTTTGGTGAAAATGGACATTACTATTTGATCTTAGAGTAAGTTAAAATTTTTATCATAAATTTCCATAAGACTTAATTATATAATTGATATCTCACTCACAAAGAAAAAATTTTAAAATATTTTGATTAAAATTAATATTATTATGTAATATCATCTTCTTATTTTAATTATTCTTTTTTCATTTGATATATAATGATCATAGTAATTTATGCTTATTGGTTTAGAGTCTGTTATTTATGATTAAACTCTTGCTCTATATTTATAAGCTAATTCATTAGTTTACGAATTAGCTTTATTTTATTTTTAAAAATATTGATTAGATTTTTATTCATTAAATTACATTGGTATAATCTAGGCTTAATATGGTGCAAAACTAAGATGATCAAAAGTTATTGCCAATTCATCAATTGTCAACAAACAAAGATCATTTTCTATTTCAATTTTAAGGTCAATTTAGTTAAATTTTGATCTAAATGATCTAAGTCCAAATTTTGGCATTTGTTATACTTTCATAAATTTTTTTAACAAAATGTCGAACGAAGTTTATGGTGATCCAACAAGAATATCTTAATAATTAAAATTAAATTTTATTGGTTATAAAGGTTCTTCATATGGTCTATTGCTAATAGCTTCTACTCTTTCAGGTGTATGTCTCTAAGATCTTCCAGTTGATTGTGGTTATAATTATAAAGATTAAGATGTTTAATAGGTTCCTTTCAATTTGGATAATCTATCCCAAACGTTTTATGGGTTATTCTCTTTGTTTCTTTTTCTGCTTGATGGTTTTATTTCTTTATTTTAAAGGAGAAATGTTGCTCTTATTACCAATCGAGGGCTAGAAAGAACATTATTATAATTCTAACTATTAATAGTTGACTTTTAATTCTTCTACTATTTGTTAAAGTTGATTTTATTCATCATCCAATCTTAAGTGTATATTTGTTCTCCATTAAAGATGTTTTTGATGGGGTTTCTTTGTTTCGATTTTGCGAATAAATTCTTCATATAGATCTTAATTTTTATATAGTTATGGTTTGAAGGATGATTAAGATTAAACAGCTTCCATGAGGTTTTGTTTGGTTTATAAGGGATATTTAATTTCTTCAATTGATTGATCTGTGAGTGGATTTATGGGTATATCACCTTTAGGTAATTATTACATTGAATCGTTAATAAATTTATAATAGGAAATTTTTGTATATAAAAATAAATTATAATAATTTTATAGAATCGATTTATATTCTGAAATTAAATAAGAAAAATCAATAGAAATAAATATAACTGTTTATTTATATGTCAAACTATCTCGCATCCTTAAGAATTTAATATCTTTCTAGTAATTTCATTTTATTCATCAATATTTAATTCTAAGTAAAGGATATTAAATAAAATTACTTTTCATATATTAATAATAATTAGATGTATATGTTTCTGGTGTATGTTTTGAATTTTCTCTTCTAGAAACTCTAAACACCTTTGTTAATAAAAAGTAAACTATCTTTTCACGAAATAGAATTGAGATAATAGTAAATGCACAACAAGTAGGTACGCCAGCATAAATTAGCCATCCATATCTCCAGAATAACTTAATAAACAGATAGATTTTGATTGGAAAAAAGGATAGAGAATATATTTTTAATTAGTGTCGCATAAGTGATATAGTGAACTTTTTATCTATTGAATATAGATGAGTAATGCTATATCGATCAAATAGGTATATATAACAATTAAATATAAAACTGATAATAGTTATTACTGGACATACATAAACCAAACATAAACCAACAGTTAAACTATACATTGCATTACAAACCCTGCTTCTTTAAGGGAAGGTTGGAGGTGTCATCAAATTATTTAATTAACCTTAAAAATACTCTTTGCAGTTTTTTTAGATTCTTCTTCTTAGGAAAACAAATCCCATATATCGAATATGTACAGTGTGAAATACATGCTTTGTGATAATCTTATTTTAAGTTAATGTCACTAAATCATAAACAGCTGCTGACATAGTCTTACCACTCCATAGTTCAAATGTAAATATGTAAGGGAGAAAAGTTACAAGGAAGTAATTAACAACTATAAGAACATGCATGAAACTTCTTTCTAAATGTGCAAATGTATTCTTTTTTGATTCTTTTTAATTTATTATTACTACTAAAATGGCAACTGTAGTAATTATTGGAACTGCCACAGTGAAAATATTTGTTAATACTCTTTAAGCAACAGATAATCTACCATTATTCTTTTCTACCTTATATTCTGGATCATTCTTATATAAATATATGAATTCATATGCAGTCATTAAGGCAGCACAAGCAATTAACATAGTTATTGCACTTTTTATTTTTGCAGCTATTCTTTCTTAAGATCTGAAACCTATATTTTCCCAGTACATGCCATTAATACGAAATGATTTTTTTACTATTAATTTATCAATCAATTTAGGATTTTAGATCAAATTTAATTTCACTCTTAATTTATTAAACCAAGAAATTTAGAAATTCTATAAAATTAATTAACTTATATTTGGATCATTAAATCTAATAATAGCCTTTTGACTGAATTCTAAAGGTTCTAGTCTCATTTTGTTAATATCTTAATTATTCATAGATATATTATTAATTTACAACCCTATTATTTATTTATTAATGTTATCATTCACTTCTGAGAGCTATTTCATCAAATCACTTATTCTCTAAGATAAAAATTCCTTTGTATAAGCCTTATAAACCTTAACTTCAGCATCTTTATAGGTAATAATTTCTTTGCTGAGCTCAAGTTCTTTAATTTATTGTGCTGTAATAACCAAATCTAATAGACAATTTTATCTTTTTTATTATAATAATTTTATTTCTTGAGTATTATAAATATAAACAATCTCTTCTATTTAAGCATTATCCAATAATCTATCATGAAAATCAATTAAATTATTACTTATTTTAAGAAGATATTATCTAATTGTTGTTTCTTTACATGCTTTCTTTTATGAGATTTAAAATTTCTTTTTCTGTAAGTTTAGAACTCATTCCTCTGATATATATTGAAGTGATAGTCTCATTTTATTAATTATAAGGATCCCTATTCCAATACTTAAATTATCTTATGTATAATATGAATACTTACATATAAGTGATAAGTAGATCATAAAAAAATGGTAAGTGAAGATTTATTAGAAATATTAAAAATGCTGATACTTAAAACCATTAGTAATTTGAACCTTTCTCTTAATGCAAATATTCCTGAATTGTCACAATATCAATAAACCCATATGAATACTAAAATTCACAAGTTCTACACAAATCATTATTCTCTATATGACAATTTAATTAAGGGTTGGAATTGCATATTCGATGAATTTCACTTATGAAAAATATTCCATAGATACAAAACACTATTATGAAAATTATAAGTTAGAATTTGATAATAGTAAAATAAAGAGGTGCTGCTAAACCATATTCGTCAACAGTTGCTTCATATAAATCTCCAAATACCCAATTAAAAGGTTATCGATGGAATTTTTTACTAATGATTAATAAAATATATATATTGTACTTGCAGCATTCGCAATAGTCTTTTGGATAATTATTGAGTACATATTAATCTGGACAAAGATAATATGCTTATCGATGTATTTCAGCTTGTTCCAATTTTGGTGGATAATTGTAATAATCATACTCATTCAAATTTATAGCGTTCAATATAGAATCACTAATTCTTGAAATTTCTTATTGTTATTCATTATTCTTAGACTGATCTACAAGTTGTCTTTCTTCACAATTAGATTCATCATTATTAGTTGCAATCTTATGATTTTGCATCTAATTTATAAAGTTAAACCTTTTTTCTAAAATAAAAATAATATTAATTTTCTTGTAGTAATCATTCTAAATTGTTAATTTTCATTGTTACAATTATAATATATATTGAAGATTTATCATATATTAAGTAATCTAACTATTTTTAAGTTTTAGATGGGTTCTTCATGCTCTCAATGTAACTGTGAAAAAAGAAATTATGAAAGAGATGTACAATCGTTTCAAATTGAAGAATGCATCACAATCCCAACATGCTAATCCAATCTGGATAAAACCTAGGTTGGAAAGCATAAAATGGCAACAATAATTTAAAAATATTGGAGAGGTTACCTAATTCGAAGAACATTTAAATAAGAAACATATACATAGCAATCTTTTACAAAAACAGTAATGAGCAGTGTTACTATTGTTAATGATAATTTGGATCTTTTGCAAAAGCCTCCTTTTAAGTATNAAATCAATTAAATTATTACTTATTTTAAGAAGATATTATCTAATTGTTGTTTCTTTACATGCTTTCTTTTATGAGATTTAAAATTTCTTTTTCTGTAAGTTTAGAACTCATTCCTCTGATATATATTGAAGTGATAGTCTCATTTTATTAATTATAAGGATCCCTATTCCAATACTTAAATTATCTTATGTATAATATGAATACTTACATATAAGTGATAAGTAGATCATAAAAAAATGGTAAGTGAAGATTTATTAGAAATATTAAAAATGCTGATACTTAAAACCATTAGTAATTTGAACCTTTCTCTTAATGCAAATATTCCTGAATTGTCACAATATCAATAAACCCATATGAATACTAAAATTCACAAGTTCTACACAAATCATTATTCTCTATATGACAATTTAATTAAGGGTTGGAATTGCATATTCGATGAATTTCACTTATGAAAAATATTCCATAGATACAAAACACTATTATGAAAATTATAAGTTAGAATTTGATAATAGTAAAATAAAGAGGTGCTGCTAAACCATATTCGTCAACAGTTGCTTCATATAAATCTCCAAATACCCAATTAAAAGGTTATCGATGGAATTTTTTACTAATGATTAATAAAATATATATATTGTACTTGCAGCATTCGCAATAGTCTTTTGGATAATTATTGAGTACATATTAATCTGGACAAAGATAATATGCTTATCGATGTATTTCAGCTTGTTCCAATTTTGGTGGATAATTGTAATAATCATACTCATTCAAATTTATAGCGTTCAATATAGAATCACTAATTCTTGAAATTTCTTATTGTTATTCATTATTCTTAGACTGATCTACAAGTTGTCTTTCTTCACAATTAGATTCATCATTATTAGTTGCAATCTTATGATTTTGCATCTAATTTATAAAGTTAAACCTTTTTTCTAAAATAAAAATAATATTAATTTTCTTGTAGTAATCATTCTAAATTGTTAATTTTCATTGTTACAATTATAATATATATTGAAGATTTATCATATATTAAGTAATCTAACTATTTTTAAGTTTTAGATGGGTTCTTCATGCTCTCAATGTAACTGTGAAAAAAGAAATTATGAAAGAGATGTACAATCGTTTCAAATTGAAGAATGCATCACAATCCCAACATGCTAATCCAATCTGGATAAAACCTAGGTTGGAAAGCATAAAATGGCAACAATAATTTAAAAATATTGGAGAGGTTACCTAATTCGAAGAACATTTAAATAAGAAACATATACATAGCAATCTTTTACAAAAACAGTAATGAGCAGTGTTACTATTGTTAATGATAATTTGGATCTTTTGCAAAAGCCTCCTTTTAAGTATGTTATCTAATGATAAGATTTGTAGGTGGAGCAGTCTATACAGGATAATGGAGAGGCAATTCTCGATATGGTTATGGGATTTAAGTCTGGCCTGATGGAGCTCAGTATAAAGGAGAATGGAAACATAATAAAGCCAATGGAAATGGTACATTCATACATGCAAATGGTGATGTTTATGAAGGGGAATGGGAAAACGATATGGCTAATGGTTATGGAATATATTAACACATTGAGGGACCAAAATATGAAGGAAATTGGCTAAACGATAAATAACATGGTTTTGGTATTGAATGCTGGCCTGATGGTTCTTTTTATGAAGGAGATTATTACAATTCTTATAAGCAAGGAAAAGGAAAATACGTTTGGAACACAGGACAGATTTATACAGGGGAATGGGTTTAAAATTAAATATCTGGATATGGATGTATGACTTGGCCTGATGGTAGAAAGTATTAAGGAGAATTTCATAATGGTACAATGCATGGACGTGGACTTTATACTTGGCCAGATGGACGTAAATATTAAGGATAGTATTTTAGAGACTAAAAACATGTATAAATAACATAACAATTATATAGGGTTATGGTTTGTATGATTGGGGAGATGGAAAAAAATTTGAAGGTGAATGGGAATTTGGAAAACAACATGGGAAGGGATGTCTAAGCTTGAATGAATAAAATTTTATTGGTTAATGGAATAAAGGAAGGCGTATCAACTGAATTTACTCAATTAGATTATGAATTATATTATATAATAAAATACAATTACTTCATGAAATATTAAAAGAATGGCCATCTTTTTGAAGATGGAACATATATTGAATTCAGTGTCAATAATAATAAATAAACATTTATTTACTAATAAATTCCAAATTAGGCTACAGCATAATTATTCGATATCAGTTCAGATTTTAATTAGATTGATCAATTATCAGAATCAAAGCTTTCACCTGAGATCAAATCTGTTTAAGATAAAAAATAAGAGAGCCAATTCCAGAAATTCTTAAATATGATCCCAGTATTTCACCCAACTTCAAAGAGTTTGATAGCTTGGTAATTTATCATGGTCATCATTATATTTTTATACTTCTTTTATATACCATTAAAAGTAATGTATTTGGTTTATTTAGATAGCATTTACTGATGAATTAAATGGCCTAAACCCTGATTATAATAAGATGGTTGATACATTTCTTATATTTTCAATTATTGTTTTGGGTTTTGATTTGTTGGTTTCATTTAATACAGGATTTACCTAAAATGGGTAAGTAATTTTGGATAGGCAATAGATTGTGAATCATTATTTAATAATCGTATATATGATTATCTAAATTATTAGGAATTCGAATTAGATTTTATTGGAGTGTTGAGTCTGATCCTATCTTATATTTTTAATCTTGATTTTATTAGATTACTATTTTATTTGAGAGTTTATTACGTCATTAGATTTGACAATAAAATTGATCATAAGTTATTACTCAAAAAAAGTATTCATATAATAAGTATCTTAAATTAGCATTTAAAGGGATCTACCTTCTTATAAAATTGATTATAGTTATGCTTTTTGTGGCACATATAATGGCTTGTATATTTTATGGAATTTCATATTCTGAATTAATGAAGGATGAAAACAACCAGACACCTTACATTGATACATGGATTGTCTATAATGGATATGCTATAGTTAATGATTAAATCATTTAATCTTCTTTGGTTGCTAGATATTTGGTATCATTTTATTGGGCCATAACTACAGTATCTACTAATGGTTATGGAGATATAACACCAAAAAATAATTCTGAAATAGGATGGACTTTATTGACTATGAGTAAAATGGTAATAAATATTTTTAGTAATTGCTGGAATGGTATTTGCATTTAATATATCATCAATAAGGGAAACATTGATTGATTTGAATTAGGCTTAAATAATGGAACATAATTTTGAAACAATAATAAATCGTTATATGAAAATGAAGAATATTTCAATAAATACTTAATAAAAAGTGATTGATTATTTTTAATACATTTGGAAAGAAGAGAAAAATCGTAATAGAGAAATAGAAGATATGCTTATATCTAAATTAGAACCAGAATTAAAATTACAATTATAATATGAGACTTATATATAGTTTGTTAATTGTCGAATATTTTATATGATGTATTTTAGCACTGAATTTTTATACTAACTATCTTAACATATGGAAGAACACACATATGGTCCTAAAGAAGAATTATATTTTGAGGATAAACAAGGAGATTAATATTTGATGTACCTTTAAAAAGGGGAAGTATTAATTGTAAAAATATATATTAAAAATTTGAGTTTGTGGAAAATTACTATAATTTGGTTAATGTGAAAACTAGAATTGATTATATTGAATAAGGAAAATGTTTAGGATAACAATCTTTCTTTATGAATGAGCGATTCCCATTTAAAGCATAGACTTAAAAATGGTGCAATATTTATAGAGTATCAAGAATAAAGTTTATAAATGTTCTTCGACAATATCAAAAAGATTTTGAATTATTTCATTTAGTTATATCCAAAAGATATAGTGATCCCTATGAATTCTATACAAAATTGGATCTTAAATGTTTTACTTGTATGTCAGAATCACATTAAGCAGATACTTGTGATGTAACTCATTATTAAAAAAATAATTTGGTTTTCAAAATAAATGTAAAGGATGATAAATTGAAAAGAGAGTAATTCGAAAGAAAGCGTAAAAAATAATATAAATCAGTTTTGATTTAACATTAGATTAAACGAATTGCTTAAGATTGTATGATGAGAATAAAATCTACTAAATTTAGGAAACAAATTAATTCAGATAGCAGCTTTGAAGATTCAGAGGAAGATGATTTCTATTAATAATAATAATATTAGAATTAGATAGGAGAAATAAGATAGATGTTGGGAAACATTCTTAAAGAATTAGGAGAAGATGTCAATTTGTAATAAAAATAATAAGTTAAATTATTTATTCCTGAACGTAATTAATAAATAAAATAATCTAGGTCCTCAATTTGATCCTTTTGAGAGATCATTTTGCATAGACGAAGTTAAGAACTATGAACATTTTTATCCAAAGCACAACTTGATTACTATAATAAATAAAATATTTTGATTAATAGATAATCTCTTTTGGATTAAAAGTATTCAATCGAATTTAAGAATATTGTCAAAATAATTAAATCATAAATTTAATAAAAATATTCTATTTGTTCTAATTATAATATTGACATTTCTATTTAATATTCCTTTTAAAGCATTCAAATATTGATATTATAGATATATATTTTACTGATGAGTGAGTAGGAAATATTTAACTACATATATAAAAATAAGATGAAGTTTAAAGAGATTGATTAAGAGCATATTGTTGTGTATTTCATTAAAATTATATAATTTTTCCCACTTTGGATTAGATCAATTTGGACATTACTACTTTAAAATGATTGTATTCAAACTCTTTTATAATCACTATCTTAGTACTAGTGAGAAGATTGATCATTAATTACAATAAAAAATAGTATCTCTAAAAAAGTTATTTTAGATTGTAATATAAATTACAAAGTATTGAAATTGATAATTGATTTTTTATTTAATTATTAATTTAATAGCTTGATTTGATGAAATTTGGAGTGAATTGAAGCAGTTATCAATCGTTATATGAAGAATAAAAACAGTTCTATATCAACTTAAACTTGAATTATTGATTATTATCGACATATTTAGTAGGAATAAAAGTATTTCATAAGCAATTATTCTAAGAAGATATATATCCTATGAATTAATAAATATAGTTTAAAATTGTATAAGAAAACTAAGAATAATATAAAGAAAATATGCTGAAATTAAAAATCTGCTAAACTAAATTATGAATAAAATTCGTATCAACTTATAATAAAATAAATACCTATTAATTTAATAGACTTTATTGCATACAGTAACTTTTCAAACCACATAATTTATTCATTTTATAAAGTAGTTTTCAATTATATGTAATAGCTTTTATCAAACCTAAATTTGATAAATCATTTGAATTAGATTTAATTAAAAATTATCAATATTTTTTCTGTAATATCATCTTGAAAATATAATCAAATAGTTATTCTGATTTTTATTACTTCATTTTAATTGTAAAAATCCATACTAACTCTATTGAATAATTTTTATTTATACTTATGTATTATTATATAAAATTTACCATTTATTTTTAAATTCAAAATAAATGTCAATTGCAGATTTTGCTGAGAAAATTTATGTCGAACTAGACAAAATGGGATTGCATTAATCAAGTATACGAGTAGACATATCTGAAATTATTGATTTTGCTTTTAGAATCTAAGTATGTGATATTATTCCTATAAATTAAGTATGAGAAGGAAGATATTGAAAAAAAACTATAAACAGAGATTGATAGATTGTTAATTCAATTATCATAAAAATAAACATGTTTAGTAAATTAAACAAGTATTTATTCATATTTACAGAAGAATAGGTGATCTTTGATTTTGAGAAGATAGAACTTCTTCTTTATGAAAAAAATGAATATAAATTGTTGCATGATTGTATTGATTTTATTAAGGCATGCAAACTGAACTTTTAAAAACGTAATATATAGAATTGGGATTCAGAATAAATTTCAGATGATGGTACTTTTTCTATGATTAAATTATAGCATTTCTATGTTCAAATTCATTAAATATGCAAAAAACTATATTATTTGCTTAAGAGAATAAAAAATTACAGGAAATTATTTAAAATATCAATAAGAGTTCAATTTCATTAAGTTAAAAAGAACAATTAGTATACAACATAATTAAATCATAAACAAAAACATAATCTCCTAAATAACATGTAATTCTAGATGTAATTTAATTTAAATGATATTAGGATGTACTTAATATTAGTTATTAACCTAATAATAAAAAAGGAAATATTAGTATTTTATCAAGTATTTAATTTCCTGATTAAATAAATACAAAATTAAATAAATTAGGAGACAAGATTTTACTTCTTACAAATGAAGGATTTAAAGATTGTGCTTCACCAAAGTTCTAATTCTCTTCATTAAGTCCTATCAAGCCGCTATAAGAAATAAAAGAAAAATCTATAAAATCACATAGATCTTCATTAATTTTAGGGTCATTCTAAAATACAGAAAATAAGTCTTAATAACAATTTATTATACCAAGAATTTAAATTGAAAAACTTGATGATTTAAAAGAAAAAGATAATACAGATTACAAAGAGATCAATAAAAAATATGGAAACTTCAATTCATAAGATAATAATAAATCAACCAATATGCATACTAATAAGAAGAAAAACCCAAAATAATTATCATTATTTGAAAAACAATCCTTCTACGATGGAAGTACTTTCATAAACATAGTTTCAAATATCCCAAGAAGTAAAGAAACTAAAGACACAGATAATAGAAGAAGTGATTCTTAAAAATCTAGAGAACGAAATCAAACATTTCATTGTGGACAACCTTAATAAAGTAAATTTCTTAGAGAATTAATGCAAAAAGTTTATTCTAGAAATAATCCAATCAAAAAACCCTACAAGATTAGTGAATTTGAAAAAAAATAATTAAGTCTTTTAAGTAATATATATATAATATTAATAGTTGGAAAGGCTAAAAAATAAAAATCATTGCATTGTTGAATAATTTTCATATTAGCTTATATCTTAAATTTTTTTTTTGAATAAATTTTGATTATCTTAAAAATATATTGATATGAAGATTTATGGTTATATTAAAATAGATATTATTGAAAAATGCTGAAATTTATCAAAAGAACTATTTCAGAAAAAAGGAATACGTCTAAAGAATAAAAATTGAAATTCATAATAAGAAAATGATTAAAAATTTAAACAAACCCATAAAATAATTTTTAGAATTTGCATCTCTTATTTTCTAGTTAGTTTATTCTCAAATTATTTGATTGATGTAGAAAATTAATATTTTCATTCTTGAATATTAATTATTTCTTGAGATTAAATTTACTTAAAGCAATATATATTATAATTTATTGTCATATTCTATAAAAAAAACAAAAATGTAATGAAAAATCTATAAATACCCAATAGTAAGAAATTTTGTTTAAAATATAACCAACCTTGAATGAGATCGCAAAGTCCTTCGAAAACATCAGATACTTATAGTGGATATATATAAATGTTATTGATAAAAATTTTCTGTTTCAGATAATGTTTAACGCGATTATAATTAAAAAATATAAAATATACAATAGATATTGTATATCAGGGTAGGGCAAATTACAAAAAGAAATTTTAAATAATTATGGTAGTATATTATTTAAAAGTGGATATGATTAATAAGTAGAGTTTAAAAGATTGAACAATGAGAATGTAAATTTGAAGGAGATAATAAAAAAATAAAAGAAAAATGAAAGCAATTTTAAGAGATGAGAGATATTTTGAATTAGAATCTATTACTAAAAGAGAAAGTAGAAATATTAGAAAAAGAATTAAAACAAGTAAATTAGTAGGAACAAAACTAGAAAATAGAAAATTTATGACTTATTTACATTTATTAACGAATATAAAGTTTAACTTGCTAATGAAACCTATTAAAATAAAAAATAACGAAAATGTAATTCCATTACCTTAAAGATCTAAGATATTGTATAATTTTGAGATATAGGATTTATAAAATAAAATCAACAATAAAAAGAATCAATGTATAATAATAATTTTAGTGTAGATTGTTATAGAATCATTTGAGAATCCTGCATAATTTAATATTTCTCTTTTAAGGTTGAAAGTAGAAAATGATGCATAAGAATATCTAGAAGCAATCAGTGCATTTTAAACAATTGAAATATAGAATCCAATTGTAAAAGAAAGAGCTAAAAGTGTTAGTGATAAATTAGAAATTTATAATAATAGTGGAAGATACTGATTTTTGTGCATGGTAAGAGCAAAGAAACATATAACCAAATTATAATTAACATCGATATCCTTATAAAAAATAATAAAAGAGTTGTNATTTTGATTATCTTAAAAATATATTGATATGAAGATTTATGGTTATATTAAAATAGATATTATTGAAAAATGCTGAAATTTATCAAAAGAACTATTTCAGAAAAAAGGAATACGTCTAAAGAATAAAAATTGAAATTCATAATAAGAAAATGATTAAAAATTTAAACAAACCCATAAAATAATTTTTAGAATTTGCATCTCTTATTTTCTAGTTAGTTTATTCTCAAATTATTTGATTGATGTAGAAAATTAATATTTTCATTCTTGAATATTAATTATTTCTTGAGATTAAATTTACTTAAAGCAATATATATTATAATTTATTGTCATATTCTATAAAAAAAACAAAAATGTAATGAAAAATCTATAAATACCCAATAGTAAGAAATTTTGTTTAAAATATAACCAACCTTGAATGAGATCGCAAAGTCCTTCGAAAACATCAGATACTTATAGTGGATATATATAAATGTTATTGATAAAAATTTTCTGTTTCAGATAATGTTTAACGCGATTATAATTAAAAAATATAAAATATACAATAGATATTGTATATCAGGGTAGGGCAAATTACAAAAAGAAATTTTAAATAATTATGGTAGTATATTATTTAAAAGTGGATATGATTAATAAGTAGAGTTTAAAAGATTGAACAATGAGAATGTAAATTTGAAGGAGATAATAAAAAAATAAAAGAAAAATGAAAGCAATTTTAAGAGATGAGAGATATTTTGAATTAGAATCTATTACTAAAAGAGAAAGTAGAAATATTAGAAAAAGAATTAAAACAAGTAAATTAGTAGGAACAAAACTAGAAAATAGAAAATTTATGACTTATTTACATTTATTAACGAATATAAAGTTTAACTTGCTAATGAAACCTATTAAAATAAAAAATAACGAAAATGTAATTCCATTACCTTAAAGATCTAAGATATTGTATAATTTTGAGATATAGGATTTATAAAATAAAATCAACAATAAAAAGAATCAATGTATAATAATAATTTTAGTGTAGATTGTTATAGAATCATTTGAGAATCCTGCATAATTTAATATTTCTCTTTTAAGGTTGAAAGTAGAAAATGATGCATAAGAATATCTAGAAGCAATCAGTGCATTTTAAACAATTGAAATATAGAATCCAATTGTAAAAGAAAGAGCTAAAAGTGTTAGTGATAAATTAGAAATTTATAATAATAGTGGAAGATACTGATTTTTGTGCATGGTAAGAGCAAAGAAACATATAACCAAATTATAATTAACATCGATATCCTTATAAAAAATAATAAAAGAGTTGTTACACTGAAAATAATAGAACAAATATTTGATTATACTTAGTGTATAGTTTAAGTTTAGACAGTAATCACCTAAAATTTAATAACAAAATAAAATAACTAATAAGATAATTCAATATCCATTGACAGGTTATTTAGAAAGGAATTAAAATCAATTATTATAAAGAGATAAATATTTAAAAATTATTCAGAATTTGACTGGAGAAACTCATAGAAAAAATACAAAAAAAATATTACCTATTAGCACTCAAACTAGTAGAGCATAATCATCATTATCATTTTAACTTTGAAAGTAATACTACATAATATTTTTTAATTTTCGTTAATAAAGCATTATATATACATCAATATAAAGTCAAGGGGCAACAGATTGTTTTCTCTTAAACCATTATAAAACTTCTTCATCATCATGAAATAATTTAATTCCCTTGAATTCATCACAATCGTCAAATTTATACAATTCAAAAGCTTAATCTATTAAATATTACTTCTAAATTTCCTTTATTTAACACTGAGAATATTCGAAGGTAAGTTAAGGAAATTATTATTTCAACTACAATAGTAATACATCTGATTATTCATAAAATTAGAAGTAATCTTTCATTTCTTCTTTACTAAACAAAATCTTAATACATTATTCCTCCAAAACTTTTTATTTGATCTATAAATTTAATTATTTATTTACTATTTTCACTAATTCTTATTTATCATAATAAGTTTGAATATCATAGTAAGATTAAATTAATTCAGCTACTTAAATCACAATTCTCTCCCAATGTTATTATTCTAAAATAACTAATCTTGGTTAGAAATTAATTCTTCTTTCATTCGCGTATAGATTTTTGATATCCAATAGTTTTCTCCAAGACAATTCAAGTACTGCATTATTAAAGTTTAATCGATTTGTCAAAATTTTTGCTTTTAATTCTTTATGAGAATCTAAATAACTTTTAATGTAATCATCAACTATTTTCTAAAAATTAAATTACATTGTTATATTTATTCTTCTGGTGTCATATCCTATTTATTTTCTTATTATTAAATATCTTCTTTTGAATTAAAAAGTCCTTTTGCAAATTAAGTTGTAGCATTTTTTATTGAAGAAAAGAACTTTTTCATTAAATTAATATTTTAATTAAATATGAAAAATTTAATATTTATAGGATAATAATATTCAACTTAAAAATATATATAAATATTTATCTTAAATCAAAATAATAATTATTCAAAAAATATATGGCTATCTAAATTACTTCTTCATTCCATTAAAATTAGACATTTAAAATTTAAATAAATTCTTTTCATAATTATTCATATATTGATTGATAAGATATGAAAATAACTTAATTTAGTTTAATATCACATGAAACTCATTATTGAATTTAGTTATTATATCTGTATTTTTTAAGTTGGAATTACTTTATTTAGTATAATTTGTTTTATGTTTAAATTTAATAATTATAAGATAATTTATTTGATTTATTTAACTCTATTATCACTTAAGCAATAAGTTAAGGATATTTAGTCATAAAAAGTAGATTTTATTGTGAATGAAAATAAAGATGTTTTTTTAAGTGCCAATATAAATGATAATAAATGTTTTATAATGAATTTAAATGAAATACTCATTTTTGTACTGTTTTCTTTCTATTAAGATCCTTTTAGCATAGATTAAATGGAATATTAAGGCAATCTTCACAAGAACATTATTCTCCACAAATTTATCCTCTCTTAAAGCATTCACAATACTTTTTTTAACATCCAGTAGTTTTACATTTACATCCATAACTCATTTATAATGATAGTAATTCAGTTGCTGGAACCTTTTTATCACGGTGGCATTTTTTATAAATATGATTTATGGCTTCATCTCTAATTTCAGCAAATTCAGCACAATTTTTACAGTCTTTGCATTAACATTCATCTAAGCAAGTTCTACCACTATGAAAGCAAGTACAATATCTCTTAAGACAGTTANCTATTAAATATTACTTCTAAATTTCCTTTATTTAACACTGAGAATATTCGAAGGTAAGTTAAGGAAATTATTATTTCAACTACAATAGTAATACATCTGATTATTCATAAAATTAGAAGTAATCTTTCATTTCTTCTTTACTAAACAAAATCTTAATACATTATTCCTCCAAAACTTTTTATTTGATCTATAAATTTAATTATTTATTTACTATTTTCACTAATTCTTATTTATCATAATAAGTTTGAATATCATAGTAAGATTAAATTAATTCAGCTACTTAAATCACAATTCTCTCCCAATGTTATTATTCTAAAATAACTAATCTTGGTTAGAAATTAATTCTTCTTTCATTCGCGTATAGATTTTTGATATCCAATAGTTTTCTCCAAGACAATTCAAGTACTGCATTATTAAAGTTTAATCGATTTGTCAAAATTTTTGCTTTTAATTCTTTATGAGAATCTAAATAACTTTTAATGTAATCATCAACTATTTTCTAAAAATTAAATTACATTGTTATATTTATTCTTCTGGTGTCATATCCTATTTATTTTCTTATTATTAAATATCTTCTTTTGAATTAAAAAGTCCTTTTGCAAATTAAGTTGTAGCATTTTTTATTGAAGAAAAGAACTTTTTCATTAAATTAATATTTTAATTAAATATGAAAAATTTAATATTTATAGGATAATAATATTCAACTTAAAAATATATATAAATATTTATCTTAAATCAAAATAATAATTATTCAAAAAATATATGGCTATCTAAATTACTTCTTCATTCCATTAAAATTAGACATTTAAAATTTAAATAAATTCTTTTCATAATTATTCATATATTGATTGATAAGATATGAAAATAACTTAATTTAGTTTAATATCACATGAAACTCATTATTGAATTTAGTTATTATATCTGTATTTTTTAAGTTGGAATTACTTTATTTAGTATAATTTGTTTTATGTTTAAATTTAATAATTATAAGATAATTTATTTGATTTATTTAACTCTATTATCACTTAAGCAATAAGTTAAGGATATTTAGTCATAAAAAGTAGATTTTATTGTGAATGAAAATAAAGATGTTTTTTTAAGTGCCAATATAAATGATAATAAATGTTTTATAATGAATTTAAATGAAATACTCATTTTTGTACTGTTTTCTTTCTATTAAGATCCTTTTAGCATAGATTAAATGGAATATTAAGGCAATCTTCACAAGAACATTATTCTCCACAAATTTATCCTCTCTTAAAGCATTCACAATACTTTTTTTAACATCCAGTAGTTTTACATTTACATCCATAACTCATTTATAATGATAGTAATTCAGTTGCTGGAACCTTTTTATCACGGTGGCATTTTTTATAAATATGATTTATGGCTTCATCTCTAATTTCAGCAAATTCAGCACAATTTTTACAGTCTTTGCATTAACATTCATCTAAGCAAGTTCTACCACTATGAAAGCAAGTACAATATCTCTTAAGACAGTTACTCTAAGAACAATTACATGGTTAGATTTCTAACTCTTTGTTATTGTCTACATTTCTTTTAAATTTATTTTAATCTTTTTGCTTTTTGTTCTATTATTTCTCTTAATTTTAATTTAGATGAGGCTTTTAGAATTGTTATCTAATGTTGGTCTATTTGAATTCTTAATCATCTTCTATTTTAATGGGTATTTCTGGGTTTTAAGTATAAGGTTTATGAATAAAATTAGAAAACTTAGATATATAAGGGAAAAAAGGATCGTTTGGCATAACAGGATGACAAACAAACCAAGAATTTTAATGATCAGTTAGTATCTATTATAAATTCGATTGAATGGGTTAACTAATTTTGATAAGAAGTAATAATACTCATCCTGCTTAATATAGAAAATTGGGTAATATTATATTCGATCTTAGTTTGGAAGAGGAGGTAGAGAATATGGTTATTGTTAAGCATCCTATTCTAGTTTTGGTTGTGAAGAAAATTATGATTTCATTTTGCAAACTAATTAAATCAATAGACTATCGAATCACTTGATGTTTATGATAAAATAATTGAAAACAAGAAATAGAAATAGAAAGACGATAAAAATTCAAAATTTTAAATGTTATTTGTACATTTATAAAAATATTCATAATTGTTCATTTCAATCTCTGTCAAATAATCTATCCAAAAAGCTCTTTGGTTTGTTCTATTATTGGGCTGGTTGATTAGGTCCCTAAGAATCATAATGGAATATTAAATTACTTATGTTTTATCCAATGGTTTAGCTGGGACAGTAGCTCCAGGACGTCTTGGGGATACAGTTTAACCCAATGGAAGAGTTGTAGTTGGAGCATAAACAGGAGCAACTTATGGACGAACAGTTTAAACAGGGATAGATTAGACCAAAGGTTATTAAACAATTGGTTATTAATAAACCTAGACTGGTTATGGTTAAACAACTTAGACTGGTTGTTAAACAACTTAGACTGGTTGTTAAACTACTTAAACAGATTGTTAAACAACTGGTTAAGCTACAACTTATTAGACTTATTAGACTGGTTGATGAACAACTTATCTTTCTACTGGATAATATTCAACTCTTTCTTGATATCTATCAACAGGTACATATTCTAAATTAGGAATATATAAAGACCTGTGTATTTCTCTTAGAATACTTATGGTACATATTCAGTTTGGTATTCCACTGCATAATAATCTGTAACATATTTTTCTCTTGGCACTTAAATTCTTTATCTGACTTCTTCATATTCTACAACAGTTTTTTCATATGGGACATATTCAATTCTGCTTTCACCTTAGATTGTTTATGGTGCAACAACTGGTTGAGCAACAACTTGTTAAGTAACAACTGGTTGAGCAACAACTGATTGTGTGACGATTGGTTGTTAGACAACTGGTTAAGCATAGACTGGTTATTGAACAACAGGTTAAGCATATACTGGTTGTTAAACAACTGGTTGAGCATATACTGGTTGTTAAACTGGTGCTTGATAAAGTGGTTGTGAATATCTCAATGGTGAGGAGGTAAGAGGGGGTCCATAAGTAACTGGAGCAGGAGCATATTATGGAGCGAATCCTGGTTAGAATGTTGGTTATTAGTTTGGACCAGGTTATGGAGCTTAAGGTGGATGTTGAGAGGGTGGAATATTGCTCATTTTTATTTTTCGATAAATAAATTTATTTTGAGATTAAAAAAGATATAATTTTTATGAATAAAAAATAAATAGCGTCACTTTTTATTTAATTAATAATTATCAATCATGAAGAAAATTATTTATTATATGCCCAATTCCTGATTTTGTACCTTTAATAAAATCCAACTTTAAAATAAAATCACTTATCTTAATTTCATCATTATGATGAAGTTCAATTTATTTTGATTCAATTTTTTAGTCTGATTCTTCTGCAGTTTATAAACTAATCCAAGTACCATTAGCGGAATCTCTATCTTAAAATCCATCATTTATTATCCATGCAGAAAATCTAATTTAAATAAATCTAATTACTTTTGAGAATATTTTATACGGCATTACTTTCTTGATATAGTATTGGAATTGATCTTAATATTATTTTCAGCTCCTCTTCCTACAAAATAATCATTAGTATCCATCTAATTTTTTCCTACAAATAAATTTATGGCTCTATTAATATCCACTCCTTAACCCAAAAATTTCACAATTAAAATAGGGATCTAATATTCCCTTAACTTTTAATAAAGGTCTTAAATTGAAAGACTCCTTATAGATTCAATAGGTTCAAAAATACTGGTTGAATTTAATTGTTCACTAAAATGAATTTCGTGTTTTTAGGGATGTTTCAAAGTAGATAATTGTTTGATTATACTATGCCACTCTTCATCTATCTATTTTAATTTTAGATCCAATCTGTGATTAAAAACAATATTAAAAAATGTGTCACTTCCTATACTAAATTTATGACCTTATTAAAGCAAAGAAGGTTCTTATCTAAAGACACGCAAATAGGTTCCACATATACTTCCAAGATCTTATATTTACACAATTTTAGGTTTTCTATACTAATTGATAAATAATCTACTCTAAAAATTAGCTAATTCTATATTTTATTTAGGCTGGGAGATTAATTAGTTTCAAAACTTTTAAATAAAGAGGATCTATTATTTAATTTTTTCTGAAGTAATCATTGCAGATAATCTTACAATGAATTCGAGATATCACCCTATCTTCAGGTAAAACTATCCTGATAGAATAATAATATGTTACTTATGTCATTAGGAACAATATCCTAATTTTATCGATATAATCGACCTATTAGTATGTCTACAGAATTAGTGTTTTTTTGTGAATCTACAAGTCTATGATATTGTTTAAATTGATATACCCAAATTCATTAATAAAATATTGATGATTTATGTTCGTATTTCTAAATTAAGTTATTTTGATATGAGGGAGTCTTGGATCAAAATGGTTGTTTTAAAATAGGATGGTACGCTTTTGAAGGTATTTCTAAATATTTTGGGGTTTTTCTCTAATTTCTTGAACACAAAAATACCTTGGTGATTGTCTATCTCTTCCTATTGAGGCTCTTGTCAAAGGAAAAAAAAATTAGTTTTCTTCCTCCTCAAAGAAAGTATCATTTCTAATCAAAGGAATATTATCCAAAAGTTAATTGAATTGTTCTATTCCTAATTATAAAAAGGACAAAATTTATCTATTAATAGGCAAATCAAGTTCGATTGAGTTATCTTAAATTTCATTATCGAAATTGCTCATTAATTATATTAATAAAGTAGAAAATTATAATCAAAATTTATATTTAAATTATTTGCAGAGTTTAAAACCTAATGGAATTTGTAAATTATAAGATTTTATTCTATGAAATCAGCTTCTTCTCATTCTTCTATCTCTTTTTGGGGGATCTTAATCTTTTCCAACACAATTATCATCTTAATATGTGTATAGATTTGGGAAGGGTTATTTTTCAGTTGCTTTTCTATTTTCTTCAGTCAAATCATCAGCAAATTTCTAAAAATTATTTATAAATATACAGTTAAATGTTTCCTAGCTTAATTGGCAGCAGTTTCTTCTTTTTTTTGTCCACTCAAATTAGTTGTTGGCAAACAAGCATCTCCAGATTTCATTGCTAAATTATGTCCAACAATTGATTTAGTATGTTTCAATCTATGATGTTTAGCTTAAATTGCTATAATGAAGATCAAAAGCAAAACAATTTTTTTTAACATTATTATATTAAAAACGAAATGTGTTTATACTTAATTAATTAATAAATTAATGCAACAACTATAAAATTGTCTGCTTGATAAAGACATGATTCTACAAAGTGATGGTACTCTATATATCGGTTCTTTTAATCAACAACATCTTGAAGGTTATAGTTTGGTAATCAACCCAGATGGATGTAATTTTGACTTTAATAATTAGCATACTATTATGGATATTTTAAGAGATCAAAACCTAAAGATGTAGGTGTTTATAAACTGAAAAACTCATGTTTAAAGATAATGTGGGGAGATGATGATACAATAAAGAACGTAGAAGATATTGAAAATGTTGGCTTCATACAAAAAATTATTCCATTTAAGAATAATTGTTACGGCAATAAATTACTCATCAGAATCAATCCAATAAGTTATGGAATGGCTAAGAACTAAAAATATGATGGATTTACAGTTATGCATTATAAAAATGGGGATATATACTATGGAAATGTTTACAAAGGAAAATAGAATGGAGAAGGCATTCATTTTAATAATTATTTACAAGAATGGTATTGGAACAAATATTCTCATGGAAAATTGATGTCACATTAACTTTATGGTAAAAATCTTGTACCTAGAGAATTGATTAGTAAGATTTTATAATTAATTAGGCAAACTATTTAATAAATTAAATTTAAAGCCTTAATAAGTAAGCATGGTCTCTCTATCCAATATACAATAATTAATAATTAATTAATTACTAATCAATAGTGAATAAAATCATTTATCTTTGGCATCTACTATTTAAAGTGCTCATCCTGCTCATCGAGATAATCTCTCATAAATTTTGATTGATTCAGAGGATATTAATCAAAATGATGAATTGGAAATATTACAAGATTCATAAATTATATCCAATGATTAAGAACTACAAATTTATAATCAAAATGATTAATAAGAAGAAATAGAAGCAAAGTTATCAAAATGTTAAACAGAAGAGGCTTTATTAAAAATTGAGAAACAACGATAAAATAAATTTTTAACATAGCCTTCTCAATCAAAATCTCCTAAAAATAATAAATAATAATAACATACTCCATTAAATAAAATGTTATCAACACCAAAAATTACTATATTTAAAAGGTCAGTTTCACCAGTTTTTACAACTATTCGTCATTTGTTTTCAGTAATCAGAATTTGATTTGATAATATTTATTAAAAATATTTAATTAAATAATGGCTCAAGCTGATAGAAAAGCAGTTGTGAAAAATGCTGATATGTCTGAAGAAATGTAATAAGATGCCATCGATTGTGCTAATCAAGCATTAGAGAAATTTAATATTGAGAAGGATATTGCTGTAAAATAACTTTTTAGATCGAATAGGCATTTATCAAGAAAGAGTTTGACAAGAAATATAATCCAACTTGGCATTGTATTGTGGGCAGAAACTTTGGATCTTATGTTACACATGAAACCAAGCATTTTATCTATTTCTATATGGGATAGGTAGCAATTCTTTTGTTCAAGAGTGGATGAGATATAAAAAATTTAAATTATTATGGAAGATAATTAATGTTTAGCTTCTCTCTTTGCTGAAATCTTATAAATTGTCAAGCCCTAATCAGCTGACATGTAACAGTTTAAAGAAGTCTCTAATGAAAGATTAAGAAAATGTATTCTTGAATTAGTTCGAGAACTCGCAACTCTTATGTAGAATCTTAAGGAATAGTTAGAAGAATTCATTGACAATAAATATGAATAAGAGATCCAAAGACTCGAAAATACAATTCGATAACATATAAGAGTAGAATAATNGTATTGGAACAAATATTCTCATGGAAAATTGATGTCACATTAACTTTATGGTAAAAATCTTGTACCTAGAGAATTGATTAGTAAGATTTTATAATTAATTAGGCAAACTATTTAATAAATTAAATTTAAAGCCTTAATAAGTAAGCATGGTCTCTCTATCCAATATACAATAATTAATAATTAATTAATTACTAATCAATAGTGAATAAAATCATTTATCTTTGGCATCTACTATTTAAAGTGCTCATCCTGCTCATCGAGATAATCTCTCATAAATTTTGATTGATTCAGAGGATATTAATCAAAATGATGAATTGGAAATATTACAAGATTCATAAATTATATCCAATGATTAAGAACTACAAATTTATAATCAAAATGATTAATAAGAAGAAATAGAAGCAAAGTTATCAAAATGTTAAACAGAAGAGGCTTTATTAAAAATTGAGAAACAACGATAAAATAAATTTTTAACATAGCCTTCTCAATCAAAATCTCCTAAAAATAATAAATAATAATAACATACTCCATTAAATAAAATGTTATCAACACCAAAAATTACTATATTTAAAAGGTCAGTTTCACCAGTTTTTACAACTATTCGTCATTTGTTTTCAGTAATCAGAATTTGATTTGATAATATTTATTAAAAATATTTAATTAAATAATGGCTCAAGCTGATAGAAAAGCAGTTGTGAAAAATGCTGATATGTCTGAAGAAATGTAATAAGATGCCATCGATTGTGCTAATCAAGCATTAGAGAAATTTAATATTGAGAAGGATATTGCTGTAAAATAACTTTTTAGATCGAATAGGCATTTATCAAGAAAGAGTTTGACAAGAAATATAATCCAACTTGGCATTGTATTGTGGGCAGAAACTTTGGATCTTATGTTACACATGAAACCAAGCATTTTATCTATTTCTATATGGGATAGGTAGCAATTCTTTTGTTCAAGAGTGGATGAGATATAAAAAATTTAAATTATTATGGAAGATAATTAATGTTTAGCTTCTCTCTTTGCTGAAATCTTATAAATTGTCAAGCCCTAATCAGCTGACATGTAACAGTTTAAAGAAGTCTCTAATGAAAGATTAAGAAAATGTATTCTTGAATTAGTTCGAGAACTCGCAACTCTTATGTAGAATCTTAAGGAATAGTTAGAAGAATTCATTGACAATAAATATGAATAAGAGATCCAAAGACTCGAAAATACAATTCGATAACATATAAGAGTAGAATAATAATAAAGATTACATATAGAAGCACTCACTTAAAAACTAGAAGAAGAATAGTAGTAATATGTAGTAGAAGTCAAAAATTAAAATGAAAAAATTAAGTAATTAGAAAATGTCTGTTCGTAAATATCAATAAATAAAGTCTAAAATCTGAATTAAACTAATTTTATTATAGATCCTAATAAGAAATCACCAACAGCTTATGATAGATTGAATAAATTGGTAAGTGCCAAAACTAAATAATATACTTAATCTTCATCAACTATCAATTCATAATAGTTATTAAAAATTTATTCAAATCCACAACAATTATTTAAAAAAATGCAAGATATTAAAAATATTGAATAAATCAGAGTTGATACACAATAGTCTGATAAGGAATAAAGTTTATTGAAGCTAAGAAGATGTGTGGAAGATAATTAAAGTGGAATGTTTCAATCTTAGAGAATAGAATCCATTAGTCTGGAAAAATATAATAGAAATTAAAAACTGATGAGAAATTCTATGAGATAATCATATATTATGGGAAATAGTTTTGATCTTGTTTCGAAGACAATGTAAAATTACAAGAAGTAGTAAAAAAGTATTAGTACTTTAAGATAATCATGGAAGAAATGATTATTATCTCATTTTTAATTAAAATAATAAAATTATAATATGAGTTAATTAGTTTGCTCTTCTTGTTTACTTAATTTCCCAGAAGAACCTGCCTATAAGGAGCATTATAAGACAGATTTTCATAGATATAACATTGCTAGGAAAATGATTAACCTAGCTCCAGTCTCATTTGAAGCTTATAAAGAAAGTAAAATAATACAATCAATTATTAGAATTTGATAAAATTTCAGAGTAAAAGATTATTACTCCAATTCAATCTTAAACATATAAATGTTGCAATAAAGAGTTTAAGTCAAGTTAAACTTATTAAAGTCATCTTGTTTCAAAAAGCCATTAATAAAATTAATTAAAATCCCCTATTACAACAAATAGAAGTTAAACAGGAAATTCTTTATTAAATAGTAATGTATGCTTATTTTGTGATGAATTATATGATAATATTGAAGATTGTTTAAAACATATGAGCAATCATGGATTTTTTATTCGTGAATAAAAGTATTGCATAAATATTGAAGGATTGTTAAAAGCATTATCAGAATAAATAAATAAAAATAATACTTGTTTACATTGTTTCTAAACATTCAAAAATAGTCATGCTGCAAAAGATCATATGTTAGACAAAGGACATTGTTTTATGCCTTAATAAGAATATAAGGTTTTATCAAAATATTATAATTTTGAAGAAAAATTATTAGGAATATTGGCAGAATAAAAGCAATAACAATTATAAATTGAAGCCAAAAAACAACAATTATAATTGAAATAAGAATAAAAAGAGGATGAAAAAGATAAGGAAATTCAAAATTAAGTTGAAGAAGAAGGTGATTGGGAAGATGATGAAGATATAGATATTGATTCTGATGATAATGATAATGATGATGATGAAGAGGATTTGAAATTAAAATAAAAATAATCTGATGATTTACAAACTGATGAACAATTAAGATAAAAGAGATTAAAATAATTATTAAAATAAATTAGTAAACATAAAGCTACCTTAACAAAGACTGGTGAATTATTATTACCAGATGGAAAATTGTAATCATATTTAATTTAAAAATTAGATTGGGCCATAGAGATTATAGAAAATATTATAAATAAAATCATATTCCTTTTAAAGTTGAAGAAACTGAAAAAGTAGAATAATGTAAAAAATATATATTATAATATAGTGGACTTAGCAGATGAAAAATAATTAGCATTATTAAGTAATGAACTTATAGTTGGCCATTTGAGACATTTTTATTATCAAAAGACAAGAACATTTGTGCATGGACAAACAAAAAATGGATAAAGAAACAACTTAATTTAAATGAGATGGTTAAGAAAATCTTGTTGATTATTGTTAGTATATATAATTTTAATCCAAATTTAATTTTAAAATATAAATTATCATTTTATATATGATTACAAAATTCATTACTTTTAAATTGGATTTATCAGAATTCAATTCCATCAAATAAATTGTATAGTTGACAAATGGATATACAATTTTAGGAGATTAATTAGTAGAATAAAAATTAAGTATGAAAAGTTACATATATTAGAATCAATGACAATTGCATTAAATAATTAATTGTTGCTACATTTTGAAATATAAAATGGATAATGTAAATTTGAATAGCCATATCAAATTGGATAAGGACTCTTTATATTATCCAATATAGTTGCCAATGACAACTTTTTAGTTGCATTAATTTCGAGGTAGGGAAATAGAAGCTTAATTTAAATCAATCCAAAAGAAAAAACTAATATCTTTCTAATCCCTAACCTTCCATATTAACAGTATCATATTAGTAATTAGATATTAGTTAGATTGTGAATCTAAATTTTAACTGATTTCATTTAATGACAGCATTATATTAATAGAAATACACCAATCAGAACATTTATTAATTTTAGAAATTCTTAGTCATCCTAAAGCTTAAAGAACTTAAATGAAATGTAAAATAGGATAAAATATATAAATATAAAAAATACATAATACTAACTAAATACTTATAGTATTGGATGAGGATCTTCATATTTTTGATATATCTAATGATATTATTAAAATGAATAAATAAATGCCTACATAATTTAAGATTAAATTTGCATTAGAAATTTAAGATAAATAAATTCTAATTTTGAAAGATAGAGTTGATAAATTTTATAAATTTTGTGATTTTCGTTGTGATTCAGATTATTTTTTTACTTTAAAATGTAAAGAATTACTAAATGGATAAGTTAGTATTGAAACTGAAAAGAAATAATCTATTAATTTAGCTAAATTTAAAGGTGAATTTTATATCTGGATAAGTACAATTTATAATTGTAATGGTGAAGATTTTAAGATTCTTTATATTAATGCTTTTAAGTTGAACAATTAATTACAAGCATAATTTATTGAAAACTATAAATTTTGGAAGAGTTAAACAATAGAATTTATTTTTAAAGATGAATTCGTACATGAATATATATTCTTTAGAGATTAATAAACAATAAAAGGCTTATATATAAGTTGATAAAATAAATACAATTATAAACTATATATATATATTTACTATATTAATTGACTATATTATCATTTGCTATTTTGCAATTTGACATTATCTTATTATTATTCTAGCTTTAAAAATCTTGTAGGTGGTATTTTTAATTCGTGATTAATCTAATTTAAAAATATTGAGATACTTATAAATATTAATTGAGTAGATTTTTTAATTCTTCATTATGATTATGAATTTATCCTGTTTCTTCTACTAATTTAGATCTTTTTAGAAGTAATTCATAATATTTGCTTAATTATTTATCTAATATTCTCCAAACTCTAAAAGTTTTTTCTGGGAGAACTTAAGTTAGTTTTTCCCAATACTTTTTACCTTCCTTTGCTATACGTTCTTTTTTTTATCTTTCAGTTTCTTATTTAGCTGCTCTTCTTGATGACATTTTCTCTATTTGTTTCTTTCTTTATTCATTAGTTTTCATCCAATGCATTAAAAAGTTGATAATACTATTTTAGTTTATGATAAATGTTTCATAATTAATTTTAGGTGCTTCATCAGGAACAGTTTAAGGTTATTCAATTTAAACTTTTTTAATAGCATCAGTAACAGCTTCTTATTATATTTATTCTTCTTAGACTTTCAATTCACAATTTTTAATTAATTCATCAATAAAAATAAGCATTTCATCTATTGAATCAATATTGAGACATTTCTTTATGACTCCTAATTTAACACTAGTTATCTCTTATAATTCTGCTTTCTCTAATGTTTCTCTCATTTTATCATCAATTAAAAAATCAACTTCTTCTATTAATATTTCAACTATTTCTTCTAATTTTTCTTCACTTAAAGGTAGTTGAACTTCTTCTTCAGCCATAATTTATGATTTTTCTATATTATATAAATAGATATACCTTAAGTTTCTTTTTAATCTTATGGTTCTTCCCAATCTACTCCTAATTATTAAATGTGAATTGTTTTATCACATTTTAAAATTTTTGCTTTAAGTTTTCTTACTTCTAATTCATTCATTGAATGAATATCAGCATAGGCTTTTTAATCAGCCTTATCGAAATGTTTAAATTTTCTTTATAATTCTTTAAATTATCTAGTTATACGTTTGTATTCTTAAGTTAATTCTTTATTTGTTTATTTGAATTTAGAATCAAATTCATTATAATCTTTAATTAAACTTCTTAATCTATTATTTAAATTTTAATCTTTTCTTTTTAGATCATCATGTGTATGTGTATGTGATATTTATTTTTCTTTTAATACTTTAAGATTATAATCTAATTTTTCAGTATTTAATTAATAGAGTGCTTTCATATCTTCATAACACTTTTCTAAATTTTAGATTTCAGTTTCCATTGAGATTTTTAATTCAGCATAAGATTTTAATCCTTAAATTCTTAATTTTTCTATATCTTTTGTATATTCTTCTTCTTTTCTTTCTCTCTCATCAACAAATGACTTTTCCTTTTCTGTTCTTTTATCAAATAAATTTCTTATTTCAGTTTAATAATTATTCAATAAATTAGCTCTCTAATTTGATTATTATTATATATTATACTTCTTCTATATATTCATTTTCAATAGATTCAAGATCTTCATGTATGCATTCTCTTAATTAAAAAAATTGAGATCTCATTTTCTAAATTAATGTTTGAATATCAATAGCTTATTCTTTTATCATTTTGCCAAAATCATCATCTTTCTTATTCAATTCATCTAAAAATTATTTTATCAATTCATCTTTTGCATGCATTATTTATCCAAATTTATCTTTCTATTAATTTATCAATTTATTAAGTTCTTCACATTCATCTTTCTCTTATAAATTACACCATTCTTATTCTAATTCAGCATTTTTAGAATTAGCTTTTTTGCTTTCATCTTCTATTTTATTTGCCCTTTCAGCTCTTTTGAATTCTTCTTGTGTTCTTGTTTCCTTTTATTTTTAATCATTTTTCTATTTGATTGTATATAATTCCTCTTTTTTTGTACGAATCAACATATCAATATTGCCTCTACTCTTTTAAACTTATTCTGATCCTTTTGCTTATTTTTTCGAATCCATCAGTTATATAAATATTTATATTAATGTCAATTAGATAAAAAATCAATTAAATATTACTTTGCTTTTTCTTTGTTTTTACATTCCATCTTTTAACTCTCTTATATTTTTTTCAAAATCTTAGCAAATGTTGGTCTTTATGAAGGATCTCTTTTAAGGCAATCCTATGCTAGAATGGCCAAAATAGGTGGATTACTAAATTAAGGGATCTCAACTTAAGTATGTCCCCATCCTACTGTACCAATAATTTATGTTATAGACAAATTCTCATAAGGTATTTTACCAGTTATAATTTCCCATAAAATCATTCCAAAGGAATATACATCAGATTTCTCAGTATATGGTTCTCCTCTCATAATTTCAGGTGCCATCCAATGTGGTGTTCCAATCATACTTTTAGTTTTTTTACTCTTAATTCTTGAGAGTCCAAAATCACATAATTTTACATTCCAATTTTAATCAATTAAAACATTAGATGATTTTAAATCACAATGCATTATTCTTCTACCATGAAGATTATTCATTCCTAAAGTAATATCTTCAATAATTTATAAAAAATTAAGATTTTTAGTTTTCCTTTTATGAATATGATCATATAAACTCCCATTTTCCATATATCTAAAATTTATATCGTTAATTACTCAGTAATTAAGTAAAAATTATGTCTCTTTATACAAACACCCATATACAAAACTATATTAGGATGTCTTAAATTAGAGATAACTTAAACTTCTTTTAGAAAATCAGCCATTAATTACTTATGTTTTTGTTGATCTTTCTTTTTACAATAAGACTTAATTGCTACATCCTAACCAAGCCAATTTCCTTTGAATACAATTCCATAACTTCCCTTTCCTATTTAAGCACCTTATTTAATCTCCTAATAATTAATTAATAATTTCTCATTGATTCCTAAATCCTATAATAAACTCATTAGTTTCTCTTAATGTTTCTATTATAAATTCTTTTCTGATAAAATGCAATGTTTGCTAGGTGAACTAGATTAATTAGATTCCAATTACTAATCTTATTATTTTTCATTAGAACTACAAGAACTCTCATTTGAAGATTCTGAGCCAGTTGCATTATTAATATGAAAATTGCTTACTACCTAATTAGATTCTTTTTTCAAACTCTATCCTTAATTCCCTTATTTTGGTGAGAACTTTGCAGTTTCTTATTATTAGTCTTTTTATTCAGGTGAAATGTACTTTTCATCAGAATCTGATGATCTCTTACGTTTTGATTTCTTTTATTTTAGTACTTCCATTCCAGGACTTTCAATTGCAGGTTCAATTTTCTAAATAATTGAATATAATTAATCATATTTTGATGATTAATCGGCTGAATTCTCACTATCCATTCTATGTAGTTATCCTGCCATTTTTTTAATATAATATTTCTTATGCATATTTATTTACTAAAGTATGAGTTTTCTATGTCCTAATATATCGATTCCTAACTCTTCTTTCAATTCTACATCTGTTAGATCATGTAATGTATCTCCAATCATATGATTTTTAATAAAATTTTCCTTATATTATGATAATCCTAAACAATCTAACCAAGTACAAACTTCCTCTATATTCCAATCCTACACTATTAAATTAAAATATAATATAAGATTTAAATACTTTTCTTTTTCCCTTTTAAAGTTACTGTTTCATTCAATGCTTATAATGTATCGAATCCATGTGTTTCCTGCTAGATTTAATGTAATTCCTCGGGTTTATTATTGGGTAATGGTTGAGGATGTATTATATTATTATCTTTCACTAAAACAGCAGAAAACACATTTTCAAATTCACAAGGAACTTAATCAACTACTTTTTACTCTTTTAATTTATCATTATCATATAATTAATAAGTCAGCTCTCTAGTACTTTAATTGTAAAAATAGCCTGGACCATGCTTCTTATTGTCTTAAAATTCACCTACACACATATTTGTATATAATTACCTGAATAAATTGAGTTCTCTGCATAATAGATTGTTCCTCTTCCATGTTTACAATTATTGACCCATTGTCCAACATATCTATCACCATACACTCCAAAATGTTGTCCATGTCCATTTTTTTTGTTATGTTACCATTATCCTATATATAATTCTCCACTATTGTAAAAATATTTTCCAGTTCCATGTTTTTGATTAAATAACCATTCTCCTTCATAACGATTGCCATTTGCAAACTTATAAACTCCTTTGCCATGCTTCATATTGTCTTTCATCTCACCTTAAGAATTTTATCAAAGTAAATACCATGATATTCATCATTATTTGAGTAAATAATATGATGTTCATTATTTGTTT